GTTCAGCAGACAAAGAGCACAAAATTAATGCTCAAATAATCTAACTATAGTTCTGTTATTATATATACAATTGTGAGACAATCACTTTAAGTTTCTAAACCTTAGTTTTTTGTTGTTATTTTGTTTTTAAGATTTTTGCCATAGGTCATTACACACGCCTGTAACAGAGACAGAGAAAGTGAGAAATCAGCCCCTGGGAAGAAGGTCACGCTGCACTTATTTCTCCTCCATTCTCCTCAGGATTTTGGGCGTGTATGCACATGTACCTGGCATGTTTTTTTTTTTTTTTTTTTTTTCCCCCAAGCCACCAGATACGGAACTCAAATCATGAAGCTGGTCATGTGGGATCCAGAACCTTAACTACCATGTTACCTGCTAGCCCTCTAAACTTCAGTCTTTTCAATAGTAAAAGATTTAAACACTTACTAAGGTGCTAATGTATTCCATTTTTATTAACAAACCACCATCTCCAAAGGATGACATCTAACTAAACTTTAGTTCAGTCCAAAAGAATTAACATATTACCACAGCAAATTTGTGCTTTACATCTGACATAAAGATGAAAGGGGACTACTAGGTAGTGTGGTGATTAACAAGGCTGGATTTCACATGGCTGACTGTGTAGTTCAAGTCCTAGATCCAGCAGGCTTGAATAAAATGCTGACTGCGTGTGTGTATGCCTGAAATCCTGAAAGTAGAACTGGAGAAGGAATTGAGGCATTACACCCCCACCCCCGCCCTTCTCTGGGAAACGTGAATACCCTCTAGCAAATTATTAAAAAAAAAAAAAAATTGCCAAATACATTGGGTTATTGGAAAAGTCATGACACATTTTCTGTATCTGTGGCATGTCAGCATTTAAAACGTTTTGGATTTTGCAGGGCCAGTGGGTGATGTGGAGGTTAAGGTACTGGATCCTCATGGCCAACTGTCCCAGATTTGACAGTTTGAAATCAATCACACCAGGCACATGTGCATGCGTGCCCAAAATCCTGAGAGAAGAATGAAGGAGAAGGGACTGTGCCATGGTCATTTCCCCTCAAGAGTAATTTCTCACTTTCCCCCTCTCTCTCTTTCTGGTGAGTGCATACAGCTAACGGCAAAAACTTAAAAGATTTCAGGGTGGCCAAAGAAATTTTTTTTTTTTTTTTAATAAGAGAGATTTTTGCTCACCAGAGAGACAGAGTCAGAAAAGGAGAAACCAGGCCCCCAGGGGGATGGCCATCCTGCAAACCCTTCTCTTCTCTTCTCCTCTTGGGATTTTGGGTATGCACGTACATGCACCCAGCCTGAGTTTTAAGCTGCCAGGCCAGGACTTGAATTGTGTTTGACTATGTGGAATCCAGCAACCTAACATTATGCCATCTGTTGGTCCCTACCAAAGAAATCCTTAATAATTTATTTGAAGATACATAGCTATTAGAAACATTATAAAACTCACAGATGGAGAGTGATTCCCATGTCTCTCAGCTCCTTCACAGATAGCAGAGGAGAGATTATATCTTGGCCAAATCTATCATAAATGAGCACCTATTGAAAAAACAAGCATGTGTTTTAAAACATCATTATCAGAAAACAACCAATGTTGAAGTCAATCTTAATAAATCATGGATACTGATTCTTATTCTTGCCTCAATTTAACATTTCTCATTATGCACCAAAATATCCAACTATGAAATAATTCATTCTTAAAAGCACTACAAACTTAGCTAAAATAATTATTAAAAATTCTCATATATAATGCCCTTTTCTAGGTTAAAAAATTAGAGACCACAAACTATCTTAAGATAAAATGAAGGACTTTGAACATACAGAAACTCATATATACTCTACTTTTTCCTCCCCAGTTCATATATATCCTTTCTAAGATTAGAACTGCAAATATTAGCTACTTTCAAAACTAATACATAACAAGCTCTATGAATATAAAGAAAATTTAGTAATTTAAGAATATCAGGTTAATAAGACACTCATTTTAAAAATTAAATCTCGGGGGACTATCAGATGGTATAATGGTTTACGTTGCTGGGCTCCCATGTAGTCAATCACGATTTGAGTCTTGGACCAGGAGATTTAAAATTCATGCCAGGTACGTGTGTGAGAGTACCCTAAATCCTGAGAGGAGAATGGAGGAGAAGGGATTGTGGCGAGGCCATCCCATGGTGGTGGTGGTAGTGGGGTGGGGGAGTGATTTCTTGCTTTCTGTCTCTCCAGCAAGCTCACACACCATATAGCAAAAATCTCTCTAAAAAATTAAAATAAAATTAAGTCTCCAGCCAGCAGGTGGTGTGATGGTTAAGGTTCTGGACTCCCACAAGTCTGACTGTGATTTGAGTCCTGGACCTGGCAGCTTACTCTCTCTCTCTCTCTCTGATGAGTGATGTACCATACAGCAAATTTTAAAATAATAATAAATAAAATTAAATAGTTATTTTAAAACAGTAAGGTCTCTACAGATTACCTGATAACCTTACTCTAATAAATGCATTTCTTTGCATTTTAAAGTATTAAAACTAACACATCTGAGGCATGATTAAGAACTCCAACTGGGTCTTCTAACTCAAAAATTCATTTCTGACTTAAGGCAACGAAGAGACCTAAAACTGGTTAAGTGTTGGAGCCAGCAGGAGGCATGGTGGTTAAGGGGAAAGGACTCCCACATGGCCAACTGCAGTTTGCTTCCCAGACCTGGTGGCTTGCTTTCTTGCTTTCCCTTTTTTTCTCTCTCTCTGTCTCTCTCTGGTCAAATTAAATAAACACATACATACATACATACAGTTAGCTAAAATAATTCTCTAAATAAATTTTAAAAAGGTCTGGTGTTTTCTGCAATTATCTTAATTCTTCACAGAGTAAAAAATTACAAATGGAAAGGTAAAACATGTTACAAAAACATGTTTTTTCTTGAATGCCAAAATTTCCTTTAAAGAAACAAAAAATCTTTCTGCTCTATTTATAAGAGGTTAGAATGTTACATCTCTCAAAAATCTCCTTTAAATATCAATGTCTCTGCATTATTAATCTTGTAATATAAAAAGTGATGGGTAGTAAAGTATTTGACCCAAATCTATATCCAGATTTTTTTTTTTTTTTTTTGCTATGGGTCACATGTGCTTGCAGGAGAGAGAGAATAAGAGGGAACAAAGAAATGTGGTATTATCTGTTGAAGACATTTTATAGTTTTATCAACTGGATTAGAGAGAAATGTTCACATGTTGAAATATTCACTTTGTAAGCTAAGTAATGTGATCAAATATATAAAAGAAAATGAAATTTAAAAATGTAAATAAAAAATAAAGAAAAAGAGAGAAAGTGAGAAATCACCTCCCAGAGGGTATGGCCATGCCACAATTCCAATTCTTTCTCCTCTCAGGATTTTGGGCATGCATGCACAGGGGCCTGAGGTGTTTTCAAGGCACGAGGTCCAGGACTTGAACCATTCAGCCACGTAAAATCTAGTACATTAACCACTACGCCACTGCTAGCTCCCGTCCCCCTGGAAATTCTTGAGCTATTTAATTCAAAAACAGAATATAGAAACAAAAAAGCTAGTGTAGTTTATGCAAAGGGCAAAAATAAGCCCACAAAGAAACAGGAATGTGGGGGAAAACTAGGGGACACTCTGGGGTTTATGACTTCAATATAAATGACTTTAACTACCTTTAGGGTTAAACCAAATGATTTCTAAGGACTCATGAGAATTTCCGAAATACCTTAAATTCTAACTAGGTTGATTTGTTAATTCTTAGCAAAGAGAGCAGTATAAAGTGATAGTAAAATAGTAAGTTTAGATCTAATCAACTGTTTCATAATCCATCATCAAATTTTAAAATGAAGGGTCCTCAAAAATAGGAATTCTTGAAGGCACTCTAATATTTCTCTAATAAGAAAACACATACTGATTGCTTTCTGGGACAATTAAGTTTTACATCTCATAAATTAACAACCTGGTACTGTGGTTTAACAGAGCCCTCTCTCAAGAATTGGTTAAAATGGACTAGTTCCTTTGAATCTGACTAACTGAGCATGTTTACAAGACCCCAAATCTGGACTTGGAAAGTTAAGGAAAAAAACATTAACCAAGATAAGTTCTATAAATGACAGCTTGCCAGAGCCATCAGCCATGTTCCCTAGATGAGTATTACTAAAAACATTTACAACAAAGCTTCATATTAAGATGCCATTTTAAATAAATTATTTATATTTATAACTAAAATGTGTTACTAGTATTAACAAGAAATTTCCTCCAATTACTATTAATAAGGACCAAGAAAAAGGAAACAGTTCACACTGAGATAAACTCTTACCTTCCATACTGGTTCGCCAGTGCTGTTTTTAACATGAGGTACGTTGAAATTCAACATACGCTTCAAAGCCACTGAAAAGAAAATTAGTTTTATCAAATGCCGCCATTGTTTTTTAGTATTTTAGTTTTTCTCCACATTTACTACCTCAAAACAGAACACACAGATCAACTCTAGTAAAACTGAGTTATCAAATGACTGGATGTGTGCATCGAGGAGTCAGACCTTGTAAGACAATTCCATGAACAGCTAATTGGTATTTATTTCAGAGATTCTGTACATCAGAATAGGTATCTGTCTCACAATGGAATCATGAAAATTGTTCAGAAGGAAGCTGTTTCAATTTCTCCTGACAATCCCACCCTATATTACATTTCATATAGATGCAAAAAGAAACTTCTTCAATCACAACTAGCAATGGCCTTGCTGCCATCTTGTCTGGTTGAAAGCACAGATTAAGATTCATCTTTTTATAACAAAAATTATACATGCTATATTCAATGTCATATAGGTCATACAGAAAACCTTCAAACAGCAGGTCTTGTTTTTAGTTACCCGTTACATTTGACAACGAATTTATCCTATCAGATTCACTGAAAAGTTATATTGCTTAAAACTCTATAGCAGCAGTCCTCAACCCGTGCCAGGCACCAGCCTCAAGGAAAAGAATCCCTTCATGGACGGGAGTGGGGAGAATTGGTCTTGGAATAACTGAAGCACACCACATCCAATGTGCTCCTCATTTCTACAACACTACAATATACAATGAAGCAATCACATGAAAATGGGTTCCTGTTTCCATAAGATTTAAACACTGCCAGTGATCTGAAGGAGGCAGAACCTGGGGCACTGTGAGCAATGTGGAACAGCTGCAAAGACAGATGAAGTCTCTGTGGCTTGCAGCCCCCCTTTCAGAGGTGTGGGCTCACCAAGCTAGTCTGCAGCCCAGGGGTTAGGGCTGACCCATATGGGTTCCAGGTTTGAGTCTGAAGAGCTCAATGTACATGAACATGTGCAATGAAGAGGGTTGGCTGAAGCTGGGGGTGGATTGAGGTGTCAAGACCCTGTTAGAGATCCTCTCTCTCTGGCTCACCGAAGAAATAAACTTACTTTAAATTCTACATTCTTTGGAAAAACTGAGATTTCCCAGTAGATATAGTAGATGGCTGGTAACTCTGGCTAAGAAAATATACAGTTTTTAAGAATTACAGCAGTTTTGTACTATATTTTATAGTATGTTGTGGTTTCTATTGCTCATATGCTCATATGTTAAAGATTCAGAAATATTTTATGAGAAAGTTGAAAATTTCTTAATATATTTCTATATATTAAAAAAATGGGATGGCTGGGACCAGCAGATAACACAATGGTTACATTGCTGGACTCCCAAGTAGTCGACTGCAGTTCAAGTTCCAGTTTCAAACGTGGCGGCTTAAACTCACACTGGGCATGTGTGCATATGTGCCCCAGATCCCAAAAAGAGAACGGAGGAGAAGGGGATTACGGCGTGGCAATGCTCTGTGTGGGATGATTTCTCGCTTTGTCTCTGTCTCTCTGGTGAGCACACACACTCTATAGCAACAATCTCTTTAAAAGAGGGGGAGGATGGCCAAATACTCAAGCGTGTTATAATTAGATAATTTAATTTTTAAAAGGATTGGCTACCTTAAAATGTACTTGATTTCTAAAAGCATTTGAATTGGAATTTATAATAACCCACACTCTAAACTCATACTGGAGAACACACTCTGAACTCATACTGGAGAACTGTATGAGGGGATTCCCAAAAGTCAGAGGAATTAAGGAGTTCTACTGCAAAAATGTTAGAAATCCATAGGTTTTTTTTTTTTTATATTATGCATTTTCTATGAACTTTCTGAAGACCCTTGTATAATACTAAAACTACCTGAGTACCAACTTACAGCATATTCATTCACTCACTAGAAAAACTTCCATTAAATGCTTGTTTATTGAGATAAACAGATATTGCTTATAGGCACTGAGGCACTTTGACATCTTTATCACTGAAGAGATAGCACTTTGGTGCAAATTTGTGTATGTGTGTATGTATATACCAACATAATTTTTTTGGTAAAATGTTAGTACCTAATGTCTAGTCAATAATACACATTACCAGTAATTTACACCTACTTCAGAGGCTCATAAGCATTATGGTATTATATAGAAGTATTCATTAAAAAAAACAAACAAACAAACTTTAGTGCTTAAAACGGAAATAACACAGGAGGCACATAGGGTATTCCAGGATTAACTCTCACTGTGGTTTAGCAGAGCTCTTCCACTCGCCCACAGACAATAAAGACACCACCCTGGCACTCACGATTTCAGAGAGAAAAACATTGATTTTAGCACTGTTGTTCACAACCTTGACACCTAACTTTCAAAAACTGCAGCCTGGCTGCCAGGTGAGTCTCAAGTGTTTAGTATTCTCCTTTTAGGCCGTAGCTAACTGAAAGAGGCCAGTAAAAACAGATGATCCCATTTTTGCATTCTTAGTCTAATCCAAGAGAATTTCTCCCAACTTTAAGGCTTGACTAGCCTGTTAAAAAGTATCTTGAAGGGGTGGAGACTGTCACAGTTTTAAAACATGACATTCTGAATTCGACTGAGATGGGAGGGTTGACAACCAGAAACTTCCTTACGTACACTGGGCTAACAGGTATTGAAGTACCGAGGTGCTCATGATCTGGGGATGGCTGAGGATGGACTGTGGCAAAAGGATCATATTGGGGTGCTGTGCTCTTGCTCTTTGTCTCTTTTGCTTGCTCATGGAAGGAATAAACTTCAAAAAAAAAAAAAAAAGAGTATACTGATGCAGATTTTTAAATGAAGACCACGTCCATAGGACCAGCAGTTAGCATAAAGGCTATGTCGCTGAACTCCTATGTAGCCGACAGCGGTTTGAGTCCTGGACCCCGTGGCTTAAACTCACACCGGGCATGTGTGCCCAAGATCCCTGGAGGAGAAGGGATTGCGGCATGGCTATCCCCCCTGGGGGGGGATTTCTCACTTTCTATCTCTCTGTCCATCTCTGTCTTTCTGGCGAGTGCATGCACCCTATAACAAAAACCTCTCCAAACAATAACAACAAAACAATGAAGACCATGTCCTGTGTTCAAAGAGTATATTAAAAATGTACTTTCCTTGCATCAGTGTTTCACTCCCTTCCCAAGGCTTAAATTATTGCTTTGAAATGAAATGATAAACTAGGTTTTCTTTTTAAATTGGCTCTAAATATACTATGCACATGCCTAATGGAGCTTTACTTTCACTTGGAACATTTTCTTCATTCATGCACCAAACAAGTACTTTCATCTATATTTACTATTTTTTACTATATTTACACTCAACAAAAGTTTAGTGAATGTTTATCATGTGCCTGCCACTGATCTAGCTTTTGAAGATATATCACTGAACAAAAATAGACAGAATAAAAATGACCCGTCCACAGGTATCTTTCACTCTAGCTGAGGAGAAAAAAGCAAAATAAGTAAACTATATGGTATGTGAGATATGACAAATAATGTGAAAAAATAAAATAGGGAAGAGGAAGTTAAGATGTAATTAAATTATTTAGGGAAAAGAGAGGATGAGCTGGGGTGTAGTTTTTAAAAAAATATTTAATCTTATTTGTTATTATTATTTATTTTTTAATTTAACCAGAGAGAGCGAGAGAAAGGGAAAGTGAGAAAGCAAGCCACCAGATCTGGGGCTGCAACTGCGGTCAGTTGGCCATGTTTAAGTCCAGCACCATAACCACCATGCTACCTGCTAAACCCAACCAAGTTGTGGGTGTAATTTTAAAGTGATCAAGCCACGGCTTCCTGAGAAGGTAACATTTGAGTGAAGAACTAAAGGAGAGGAGGAAACGAGTCATACAGATATCTCTGATATCTTGATAGTCTTGGTAGACATTAGGAAATGTTTATCTGTCTTTTTTTTTTGGGAGAGGTTTTTGCTATAGGGTGTGTGTGCTCGCCAGAAAAGTCGACAGAGACAGACAGAGAGACGGAAAGAGAGAAATCACCCCCCAGGGGGGGATGGCCATGCCGCAATCCCTTCTCCTCCGTTCTCCTCTTGGGATCTTGGGCATGCATGCACAGGCGCCCAGTGTGAGTTTAAGCCACGGGGTCCAGGACTCGAAAGGCGGTCGACTACATGGGAGTCCAGCGACATAGCCATTACACTAACTGCTAGTCCCAGGAAATGTTTATTTCTGCTGCTATAAGTCATATAAAGAAATTTAACTTTCTCTAAAATAAGACAGACTCTGAGCCAGTCTACAGTAGGGTGCTTAGATCCTTGGAGATGCAGTCCCACATGGCCAACTGTGGTCTAAATCAGGCCCTAGTGACTTGAGAAATGCTCCTGGAGTAGCACTTCTGCAGAGGCATTCTGCAGAATGCCTGACAGGATGCAGAAACTGAGGAAATGAGAGTGAAGCATGTCCATGCCCCATTAGGAGATGTTTTTCTTTCTTTCTTTCTTAAAGAGCTATTTTATTTAACTGTATTTATTTATTTTAATTTGACCAGAGAGAGACAGAGACAGAGACCACAAGTCACCAGATCCAGGACTTGAGCCACGGTCAGCCATATGGGAGTCCGGTGCCTTTAACCACCAAGAACCTGCCAGCTCCGGTGCTTGCTCTTTCTCTCTCTCTCTCTCTCTCATGAATGCACACATCTCCTGGCAATGAAAAAGACAACTCAAATAGAAACCAATTTGAAAATAACTGATCTAGCACACCTTATCTAGTAATAAAGTGAAATCTTGCTGCAGTATTTTTATGCAAAATAAAACTATATTAGATTTTAATTTTCTACAAATTTCTGCATGTAAGTATTTAATATTATATGCAAATGCAAATAGTAACTCTTTTTAAAATTTGCTATAAGGTAAGTATGCTCACAAGAGAGGGAGGGAGGATGGGAACCAGCAGTTAGCGTAATGGCTATGTCGCTGGATTCCCACGTAATCGACCGCGGTTCACATCCCGGACCCGGTGGCTTAAAACTCACGCCGGGCGCATGTGTGTGCGTGCCCAAGATCCCAAGAGGAGAATGGAGGAGAAGGAACTGCGGCGTGACCATCCCTCCCCCTGGGGGGGGGGCGATTTCTCACTTTCTGTCTCTATGTCTCTCTCTGTCTGTCTGGGGAGCGCACGCGCCCTATAGCGAAAACCTCTCCAAAAAAAAAAGGTATCCAGCCGCTTCACCTTTATGCCACCTGGCTGGCCCACAAATTTAATTTTTCAAAAAGCTCTCTTGTGTTGGTATTGAGTTTTATTGATATAAAGGCGAAAACATTCCCTATTGAAGCAGGCCAGCTTAAAAAGTTTATCAGGACTGCAGTCATTTTTAAATTAAGAAAAAGTCTCTAACAAGAATAATCTGACCAAGTAGCAAGCCACAGGAAGATGTGATGGAGGAAGGATCAAATGAGAAACCAGGAACAGGTATTTGAAGGAATCAAGATAGATACTCAGAAGATGAGGAATGGTCAGATGAGAAACCAGGAACAGGTATTTGAAAGAATAGGATAATCACTCAGGAGAAGGTGATCGACTCTGATTGTAATAAGGAATGCTTTGCACGTGCTTGCATCTTGCACCGAGAACATGTTGAGGTTTTAGAGACAATTTGATGGTGCTTGTTCGCTGTCTCTCTCTAACCAGTTATAGAAATAAACTTCCTTTTTCTCCAGCCTCTGCCTCTTGTTTCATTGACCATGAGAAGAAACAGACAGACTTAGCTGGCTAACACCATGGAGAATGGTCACCTCATAATCCCTTCTCTTCTATCTCTCCCTCCTTTTGGGATTTTGGGCACACACACACACACGCACTCAGTGTGTTTCTCAAGCTACCAGATCTGGGACTTGAACCATGTGGTTGGCTATGGAGGATCTGGCTGCCTCGAGCACTAGCTATGGAACTGGCCAGACATGCTACTTTTTAAAATACCTATTAATGACCTAATTCATTTAGCTTCAGCAAGCTCTGAGAACCACAGTGCTAAGACTATGAGGACTTCTACTTGCTTATACAGATCAAATGAATGAGATAGTCCCCAAACCTTACGTGAATTTTGAACATTTAACTTATTTCTTAATCTGACAGATTATACTAAATTCTCTTTTGGGAAAAGCAGAACACAATTCAATATACTTTGTGTGCCACTACTAAATTGAAGTCATTTTTTCTTTAAATGCCAATGGAGGGACTCAAGCACAGTCCAAATCTCTATTGTAGGTGATTTTTTAAAAAAAGAATTATTTTATTTTAACTTTATTACTATCATCATTGTTGTTTTCCAATTTGATCAGAGACAGACAGTGAGAGAGAGAGAGGAAGTGAGAAAGCAAGTCACCAGGTCCAAGACTTGAACCGTGGTCGGCCATGTGGGAGTCCAGCACCCTTAGCCACCATGCCACTTGCCAGCCCCCTGTAGGTGATATTAATTGTAACTAATTCTTCTCCTATTTAAATTTACATGCAAAAGGGCATCATTTCAGGAGACACAATTTCCAAATATACACATTCTCCATTGCCTACTAATGTAAGAGCCTCAGAATAGCTTGTCAATTTTCAAGACAATTAGCTACCAGGTACAAACCATTACTTTATAACTAACAGGTATGAACCCAGTTGTCATCAGAGTTTACAAATAAGCCCAAACTGAAAGTATCTAACATGGGGGAAAAAAAAAAAAAAACCTTCAAAAGTCAAAGAGATATGTGCCTTTAGCACATTTTGCTACATAAATGAAAACTATATAAAAATGCTCTACAGAAGATGAAATAATACTGTATACTGTCTACGACTACTAATCTATCAAACAAAACGAAAAGTTACTAATTTGTATCGCCATTCTTCCATCCCTTCAAGCAAGCTGAAGGAAATCTTTATCACTAGGCATTTTATTCCTGGTGCTAAGGGGAGAAATTGTACAAAGCAAGCCTGGAGGCACAAATTGTAAAAAGCGAGGCGGGGGGGGGGGGGGGGGGGAATCTGAATTTTGTACTTGCAGTGGCAGTGAATGAAGTTCTTTTAATAGGAAAAACTGAAACACACAAGGAAACAAAAGCAGAGATCTCGTAGGGCAACACAGGAAAGAACAGCGGCCGCCAGACCGTGTGACGACCTTCTGAGGCCCAGTAGGCGTAGACACCCGTCCGCCCGTGAAGCCCCTTCTGCCACACAGGTGAAGGGCCGGGCACTCAAGCTAAAGGCGTCGCTACCTAAGCACTTAAGAGGGAGGGGCTCTTGATGCTCGAGGGACTGGATTAAACCCGGGAAGGTTTCTAAGCGGCACGCTCCACGACCAAGTGAGGGCGACAAGCAGAGGAAGATGTCGCCCACGTAGGCACGAAGCTGTAGGGAGAAGAAAATAAATTGATACCTGTCTGCCTCTCTCGCGGGGGCGGCGGCCACGGCGGCCATCTTTGTTCCCACCATTCACTGCCCGGCTGGCAAACGGAGCCCGGCGATGACGTGGCCAACGCTGCCTGCCCCGCTAGCGTCCCGGAAGTAAAACCCGGAGGGGCGGGGCCGAAGTAAGCGTCTAGTAGTCCAACTCCGCCTTCCGCAGGAGTACCGTCCCATTTCCTCCGCGTGGAATTAATACTTTAACTGCTAGTAGTGTTTGAGTTTTCACCTGCGGATTAGCAGGAATTTTTATCCTAGCTAATCAAGGTGTTCCTCTCAAGTGCTAGTTACTTTAAATTGAATTTTTGGATAAGAGTGCAGTGTAGTGGTAAGTACTTAAACACTGCACCTGTTAGCTTGGTGGATTGCAGAGCATTTAAACTGGTAATACTGGGGGAAAGGTCGCAGGAGTAAATTACCTGAATGTTTAACTCCTGAACAAAGAAGGCACTTAAATGGCAACTGTTTCCCGGTGAAGCAAGTCTTCTTTCTGCTCCCTTGTCCGGAAAACAGGTCTGAAGTGCTGCTTTAATCTGGCAGATTTTCGATCTCATCTTTTAGGCAAAATGGCCGTTTTGTTTTTTGGAGAGGTTTTTGCTATAGGGCATGTGAGTTTGCCACCCTACAATCCCTTCTCCATTCTCCTCTCGGGATCTTGGGCACGCACTCACACGCACCCGGTGTGTTTAAACTACAGGGTCCAGGACTGGAACTGTGGTCTACTACATGGGAGTCGGCCGACATAGCCATTCCGCCAACCGCTGGTCCCCAGAATGGCTGAATTTAAGATGCCATTTTCTTGTATTTACCCAGGAGCTGAGTGGGTCAATACAAAAGGGCAAATTAGCGTATTTCCTCCTTCCTTAATTACAAAATAATCTGTCCATGATATTGTGTATGGCATCTTCAACTGGCGTGAAGTATATTCATGTTGAGTAAATCCACTTTACAAGTAGTAATGACGTATAGTGATTGACTTTAAAATTAAAAAAAAAATGCAAACACAAAACATTAGGGGAGCCAGATGGTAGTGCTGGTGCTTTAATATACACTTGAAGGCTTGTGATCACAAAGTATATCCAACACTGATGATTTCTAATTTAATCTATGGATTTTATTGGGTGTCAAAAATGGATACACATGACATCTCATTTCCCATGTTCAATAGAATTGACTGATACATTGCATTCGCTGTTGAATGTTTATTCTGAAACTGCACCAAGTTCTAAAATGAAATCGTTCCAAAACTTAACTTTCAAAATAATACAAATATAATGAATTAAATTATCCTAACAGGTATATGACAAGATTGTTCTGTAATAAAACACTAGCTTCTGTTTAACAAAAGCTGTATTTTTTTTTTTACATTTAAAATGTTATCCTAAATACCACTAGAAAATGTCCTAGCATTGTGCTTATTAAGAATTTTATCATCCTGGGAACCAGCAGTTAGCGTAATGGCTATGTCGTTGGACTCCCACATAGTCGACCGTGGTTCGCGTCCTGGACCCGGTGGCTTAAAACTCATGCCGGGTGCGTGTGAGTGCGTGCTCAAGATCCCCAGAGGAGAATGGAGAAGGGATTGCGGTGTGGCCATCCCCTCTGGGGGGCGATTTCTCGCTTTCTGTCTCTCTGTCTCTGTCTTTCTGGCGAGTGTACGCGCCCACGCACCCTATAGCAAAAACCTCTCCAAAAAAGAATTTTATCATCTATTTCTATAGCTACTTGGCATATTAAGAAATTAACTGGGGGGGCCAGCAGTTAGCATAATGGCTATGTCGCTGGACTCCCATGTAGTCGACTGCGGTTCGCATCCTGAACCTGGTGGCTTAAAACTCATGCCGGGAGCATGTGCATGCGTGCCCAAGATCCCGAAAGGAGAACAGAGGAGAAGGGATTGCGGCGTGGCTATCCGCTTTCTATCGCAGTCTCTCTCTGGCGAGCTCACGCGCTCTATAGCAAAAACCTCCTAAAAATATATATATTAACTGGAATATTTACTGGTGTTTCTTCAGTGTTGGAAGTAGTTATATTAAAAGACTCTTCAATCATCCTGTGTTCTGATTCAACAGAATGAGTTCTTGGTCCATGGAAAATTATTGTATAGCTTCCATGGAATATACATTATACAGGTTTTCCCACCTTTCTGTATCTGATAGTCCAATCTTGTTCAATTGGGTACTTCCACTTTCAAGTGCAAATCTATCATCCAAACATACCAGCTCCATCAGACGCCTTCCCAAGAAGGGAAATCATTTTTAATATAAAACACTAAAAAAATTTCAAAAGTTTTTGCCATAGGGCACAAGAGCTCACTAAAGAGAGAAGAGGGAAAGTGAGAAATCACCCCAGAGGTGGCCATGCTACAATCTCTTCTGGGATTCTGGGTGAGTGCCCAGGAGAGTCTAGCCTGTTTAGAGTCCAGCCTGTTTCTTTTATCCATTTTTTAGGTTTTTGCCACAGAGCTCATGAGCTTGCTGGAGAGAGGGAAAATGTTAATTCACCACCTCCCTCCTGGGGGATGGCCACACTAGAATCCCTTCTCCATTCTCTCTGAATTCTGGGCACACATGCACACAGGACCCCGTGATTTTCAAGCTGCCAGGTCTGGGGCTCAAACCCCACTTGGCTATGTTGGAGTCTAGCGCTTTACCACTGCTGCCACCTGCTGGCCTAGACCATTTAAACATTTGTGTATAGCATATACAGTTTTATAAAAACTCCTGAACAAAGAGTGCATAAGTGTGGGCAATAAATTTATAGAAAAATATACACCACTTGGCCAGCTCAGTGGTGTGGCAGTTGAGTCCTATGCATAGAAAACAGGACCCCCATATGACCCACCACAGTTTGAATCTCCTTCCTAGTGGCTTCAAACACATGCCAAATGAGTGCGCGTGTGCATGTCCGTGCGTGCGCACAATCATATGTGCACATCCATGTGCTCATGCCCAGCCAGGTTGGAGAAATGGAGGAAGATCATGGCATGACCATGTCCCACTAGATATAGTCTCTGTCACAGGAGAACGTATATGCCCTCTGGCAATAAAAAAAAAAAAGTGAAAAATATACTCCAAAGAACAGTAGACGACAGACCATGTAAGACCAAGTCTAAGGTTATTTGCTTTGTATTATAATCAGAAGGAAGAAAAATAATCTATGGCTTCAGAAAGTTAACGTAATTTATTTTAGATATCTGACTGTATCCAGATTTTTGGCTTAAATAACTTGTCAAATTACATTAGGAGATAGTTTTAATACGAAACACCTCAAAGAATCTCATTTCTAGAGGTTCCTAGGTAGGTGCCAGCCTACAATTGTTGATAGGGTCTCTGAAGTGTGAAGAGGAATTTGCTCTCAATTTTATCAAAATTCTAACCTGTCAAATCACAAATGACTTTAAAGCACGTCCCATCTAGTGGCATAAATAAATTTATTTAGAAAGCTTCATTATAAATGCTATGTTTTTTGGTTGTATTGCTGTCTTTAAAATGGGGGGAAAAGGAGGTGAACATATAAATCACCACTTAGCCTAACTGGCATATAGTAGATGTTGCAATGTTTGGAGACTGGAAAGAGTCAAAACTACAACTTAAAAACTGGGTCTCTTCAAGGCAATCCAAATGTTCCTTTAACTACAGGTAACATACACTGAAGTAATTAATTCTTCATTAAATGTGTGTGTTTTGTTTATTTATTTATTTAGGTTTTTGCCATAGGGCACATGTGCTCACCAGAAAGAGAGACAGCGAGACAGGAAAGTAAGAAATGATCCTCTGAGGGGATGGCCATGCTGCAATTCCTTCTTCTCCATTCTCCTCTTGGGATTTTGGGCACGGATGCATACTGTGTTTTTCAAGCTACACAATCCAGGACCCAAGCCGCAGATGGCTATGTGGAAGTCCACCATCTTAACCTCGCCACTTGCTGGCCCCATTCTTACGTTTTGTATAGCATTACTTGAAGCATAAAAGTCTGTATTATATTACTTTAAGCATAAAAATTAGTTGAATAGCTTACTGTAAATGTAACAACAAAGTTGGTGATAAAAATATATAAAATAATTACATATTTATAATTAGAATCTTGATCTATGAGAGATTGCCAGAGACAAAGTCACTGAGGAAAAACCTTCCAACTATATTCCTCTTTGCTTAGTATTTAGCATTGTGTACAAAAGTTCCAGCAGTTTCCATATATTTAAGGGGGAAAATTCTAAATGCATAAAATAGAAGCCAGAGTAAATTCTCATGCTGGTAATCAAATGAAGAACTTTAAAAACTGAGCCCATACAAAAAACCCCACAATTCTACATAATACAGAAACTACATATTACCAAATGTTGGGTGGCCGGAAAAGTCATGATGAAACATAGAATGTGTTATAACTTTTCTTATAACTCAATTTATAATCACAATATAGTTTCTGATGAACTATTTTAGAGAATCTTTCCCTTAAATACTAAAACAGTAAAATGACTAACAATAGTCGACTTGTATAAAAAAAAGGCCTTACTATAATGTTCTGATACTACAAACCATTAAAAAAAAAAACTCTTTAAAAACAATGAACACAAAACTAATCAAAATCAGTAACTGTAGGCTCATTATAGTTCAATTTATAGTTTTCCTCAGTATTGCAAGCAAGAAAACAGAAGCTTAAAATATATGGCATTTAGACAACTGACATATTTAAGAAATATATACATACAATTACAAAGGTTTATAGCATAATTCCTTTAAAAAATTCAATACCAGTAAGAGTTGTGCACTTGCTATAAAATGAATTGAAAAAGAACAATTACAACCATTTAACATAATAATACTGCAGAAAATAAATAACCTACAAATTTTTCTGATATACCTTTACTATACAGAATAATACTAAAAAAAACCAAAATCACACTAATGGAACATCCTTCAAATCAGAAAACATTTTGCAACATGAATATTTATACTTAATCTTGAAAAATGAATATCCTAACTTATTATTTACACAACTTTACCACTAAGGCATGTTCACATAAAATAAGTGAAATCAGAAATTGAAATACTGTTTTTAATTGTAGCTTACACAAGCACACTGCCTTCCCTCCATTCACCCTCAACCCCATCCCAACAAAGTGTGAAAGTATAATATCAGCTTTAATTACTACTCTAAAGGGAATTAAAACTACAAACCAGAAAAATTGCTTTAATTAAGTTTTTGTTTTTTCTTTAATGAAGAGTTTTAGTTTTAAAGTTTTATAAAAACTAGATGGGTTAAAAAACACAGTATCTGAGACCAGCAGATGACGTAATGGTTACATTACTGGATTCACAGTCAACCACCATTTGAGTCCCGGACCAGAGACTTCAAACTCACGCTGGGTGCATGTGCATGCATGTCCAAGATCCTGAGAAGAGTGGAGGAGAAGGGATTGTGGTGTGATTATCCTCACGGGGTGAGAGGAGGGGTGTGTGTGATTTCTCACTTTCTCTCTCTCTCTCTGGCAAGCACAAAAGCCCTGTAGCAAAAATCTCTCTCTTAAAAAAAAAAAAAAATCCAATTTATCAACACACTTGTAGTAAAAACTGTATGGTGGGAACCAGCAGTTAGCATAATGGCTATGTCGCTGGACTCCCACGTAGTCGACCGCGGTTCGCGTCCCAGACCCGGTGGCTTAAAACCCAGGCTGGGCGCGTGTGAGTGCGTGCCCAAGATCCTGAGAGGAGAATGGAGGAGAAGGGATTGTGGTGTGGCCATCCCCTCTGGGGGGTGATTTCTCGCTTTCTGTCTGTTTCTCTGTCTCTCTCTGTCTGTCTGGTGAGCGCACGCGCTCTATAGTAAAAAGAAAAACAAAAAAACAAACAAAAAAAACTGTATGGTGAATTTGAGGCTTCTATTAAATAATCACACTCTTTTTTAAAAACTCAATGGAATTCAATACAAGACCAGGGAATGCCATCATTTAAGGTCCTTAAATAATTCAAGTTAAACTTTAATTTACTAGGTTGGTTAGTAAGTATAACTTGAAAAATATATGAGGTAACAAAGAATTATGCTAAGATTTTGTTTTAGTTTTCCTTTGGTAATAAGAGATGTATTACCAATATCAAACCAATCCTGTTCTTTTCTTTAAAAATCATCAATAACTTAAAAGATGTTTATTGAGTAGTATGAGACAAGAAAAATGTGGTTAACACATTTTACCTCCCACAATGATTTACCTATCATAATGATTTACTTTAACAAAAACCAGATTTTTGTCTCATTTATATTTAATAATGGATTAGGACTATTACAGTTTCCCCTTTTTTTTCTTTTGCAGGAATATTAGCATGGATACATGACAACTGACCTATGTATCTTCAAATTGTTATTACATGATTTCTTATTATTGTTAGGTATTCTTTGACTTCTGTTGATAGTTGCATTACTAAAGTTAAAAGAATAAAGACAACATAAGAGTTTATATATAAGGATACACAGAACACAGTATTTATCTCTGCCTAGTGAGTATAAGTGGATATTTCCTTTTTGCTTTATTTACATTGCTTATATAATAACATATCATTCAAGAGCAAAGAAGGTAACTATATAATGCTATAATGTCAGCTTTCCTATCATATAACCACCTTGAAAATAAATGTCAGTCAAACCTACCATGGCTATCTACAGAGATCAGATACCTAGAATGATTATGGATCAGACATAAGGAATACCACACAGAAGATAATGGGAGAGAAAACAAACTGGTGATTAAACCGAAGGCTTTAAAGGACACCATTTCCTAGCTATTTTCAACTATATTTTAACCACCTCAGATGTGTTTTTAGGCCTATAGAGTATCCAAAGATTCTGGAATATTTGTGCAATTCTGCTTTTTATATAATACTTCCCATTAGGCACAATCTAACTGCAATGTGAGTCACTTTAATAAAGTTGGTATCTAAAACATTTAAAGCAAACAATTTAGTGCCATCCTAGAAAAGCATATATATAATACATATTCTAGAATATATGCCTCTAACTTATAAGACAGAATTCAACCAACTTGCTTTTCTATTAATGCTTTAAAATTAAATAAGGAATAATTTGAAAACTGAACAAAACTATAATAATCATGGAATCCTAACCCTATAGGTAATCCTCATTTATAAAAAGAGTAAAACAGTATTTTTCTTTTATATACCATGCCACTATACCTGAATAAAATTTATATAACCATTCCAAAGTATATTGAGGTTTTTGACCATCTATGTTAAGAAAATATTTTTTTTTAAAAATCACCATTTTTGACCAATATGTCTTAAAGATTTTTTTAGCTTAAATGGCCAAAACATTCCTTTATACTTATATCATAATTTTTATTGGGCCAAAGATAAAAAATTTGTTCAAAGTGGTTATGAACAGACTTCTAAAACAAAAGGAAGTTATCAATAGCAGCTTTTAATGAAGCATTTCTTTTTTCAAAGAAACATTTTAATGTCGGATGTAGTGAGAACTTTCTTCCTTTTCTAGTCTTAGAGTGTTTCTTATGGCGAAGTCCATATTTTCTTGAAACTCTTCATAGGAATTGGTGATTGGAAGAGCTAAACAGTTATTACACTTGTTTCCAACAGGAAAATTCATATGGAGGCACTCAATAGAAGGACTAGGTTTAAATCCAGCAGGAGGAATGGAACTGCAACCAGTTGCAAAAACAAGAATGTCTTCCATTGTTGTTGCAGATTTACCATCTGAAAAGTTTGCCAATAAAAAGAGAAAAAGAAGGAAAAATAAATCTATGTCAATGTGTTGCTATCCATGTCTTCCATTGTTGTTGCAGATTTACCATCCTCAACAGTCTGTAAGTAACTATTCCAAAATTCCAAAGCTTGTACATTATGTCTTCCATTGTTGTTGCAGATTTACCATCTGAAAAGTTTGCCAATAAAAAGAGAAAAAGAAGGAAAAATAAATCTATGTCAATGTGTTGCTATCCCAACTAGATTAGGAATATAAAAAGGCACAGACTCACACACTTATTTTAAGCAAACTAAATTACTAAGTCAGGTGGAGTATTAGGGAAACCGAACATTCAGTAAAAGAATCTCAAATTAAAAGAACTCAAAATAATTTTGTCAACTACTCATAGTATATTTGACCACATCTAGATCATCACTGTTTGATAAACTGGTCAACGAATGGAGAGAAAAACTAAATGTGAAAAAACAATAAGCTAGCTAAACAAAATTTCAGTTCAAAGTTAAAATGTTCTCTCCATTCTATGAAATAGAATGATTTTATATTACTTATGTTCAATGCTTAATATCACCGTTATAGCCCTAATCAGGACAAGAATAATTCAGCCTAACTTCAAAGTGAAAAGAATGAAATAGATGATCAGCTTTAAGACTGCTGGGGCAATCCTCCATATATTTAAGCTTCTCTGGAAGAATACCTTATATATCCCAAATAAACTAGAGAAAAACAAACTATAAAATATAAATTTACTCTAATCTCTCATAACTTTTCAGTCATATAAATTCTCTGTCAAATGTTTCAAATGCTTATTTTATATACATGGAACTAGGCAAAAACAACAACAACAAAAAAAAACGAAACAAATATTCCGAGTTAAATAAAAATATCTACATACCCTCAACAGTCTGTAAGTAACTATTCCAAAACTCCAAAGCTTGTACATCGGATAATGTGTGTACTGGAAAAAGATCACTAAGGATTTTTGCAGAAAGATTCTCAGGTTTATGACAAAGGATGCTACAAAATGCTTCTGGATACATCTGGATTTTTTCCAAAACACCAAGAGTTTTCAGACCCTCCTTAAAACTTAAGAGAAGAAAAATAAGCCAACATAAATATATGTGATATCACAGAATTAACATTTCCAGCTCATTTATCTGCTATTTTTCACAATATCTAATGATTTGTTAAAAGGGAGGAAAAAAATTACCATATATATTTCAGATGTAAGAAAAAGAAATATGAATATAGTATATGTGATACAACACTTTCAAGTCCATAGCAAGGAAATACATTAATATAAATTAAACAGTTCACATGCCAACATTACTTGGCCCTATAATTTTTCAATTACGTTATTTCTTGAAAGAAGCAGACATCTGAAGTATTTCACACTTCAAAGTTAGTTCTTGTAAAAAATAGTTTCTAAGAGTACAAAAAGGGATAAATCTTAGCCATACAAAAATATAAAACTTATGCTAAAAAGAAATGAACAAAGTGGTAAAATATTTCAATATATATGACAGAAAGTGGATTAATTTCTCTAATATACAAAGATCAATAATTTTTCAAAAGATCAGTAATTCAATAGGAATAAATTCGACAAATAAACATAATGAACAAAATACAAGTAATAAACCCATGACCTTGTGAACAAGTACAGTAGTAGTATTTTTGCCTATAAGACTGACTTTCCTTAGATACTCTATCTCTCCTCACTTCTGTCTCTTTTTTCAAGGACTTAATCATGTTAGTATGGTATGAATGTATTTATCTTCTTCAAAACCTCAAGTTGAAACTTAATCCCAATGCATCAGTATCAGGAGATACTGCCTTTGGGAGGTGATTGTATCATGAGGGCTATGCCTGAATGAATAGGATTAGGTGCTGTTTAAGTATTGCCTAAGGGAGTTTGCTCCTTTTTACCCTTCTGCCTTTGACATGAGGACACAAACATTCTTCCTTTCCAGGGGATGCAGCATTAAAGCCCCATTTTGGGAAACAGAGACCAGCCCAGGAATCACATGTGCCAGTGCCTTGATCTTGGGCTTCCTAGCCTCTAGACTGTTGAGAAAATAAACTTCTTTATATATTACCCAGTCTTCAGGTATTCTGTTATAGTAGCACAATACAGATTATGACATGTGCTTATCTTTCCTAAAGGAAAACAAAACAAAGCAAAAAACCCACTCAATCCCATCTGCTTTTCTGCTTCCTCCATTTTTAAATTTTGTATTTACTTTTCCTCCTTCATATCTATCTCAGGAAAAATTATCCTAAGTTTCTGAATGATCTCCTATGGTATCAGTCTCCTGGTTATCTCTCATTTTTCTGGCTAGATCTTTTCAGTCTTTCTATAGTTCCTTCTTTCTTAAAAAAAATCTTGCCTTAAATACTGCTGTTTATCTTCATGAATCTGCTGTACAAGGTCATCTTCTCGTCTCCCTTAAATTCTAATTTTACCCTCTCCTAATGCTTTATTTAGCAGATATATGCTCATATCTATAAAATCTACTATCTCTAGTCCAGAAATATATTCAACAGATTATTGGGTACCACATGGATGATGCCAAGTACCCAAACATATTAAGTCAGAAAGAAAGCAAATTACCGTCCCACCATAATCTGAACCATAGTGATAGTAAATGGCTCCATTATCTATCAAATTGATATAATTAAGTCTGAAAGTTATCCTTAACATCCCCCCCTTTCATCTCTAATTACCAAGTCCTATGAATTTTGTTTTCTGAAATCTCTTTTATCTGCTAATTTCTCCATATACCCCTGCTACCACTCTATTATGAACTACCTACAAGGAAAATTGTGTACTAGGCTTATAAATCTCCAAGTCCATCTTCTGTGCTGTAAACCACAGGGATGTTCCAGATACAGAACTCAATACTGTCATTCATCCTGAAGTAAGCAGAATGATAGATAGCCACCCCCTCCAAAAAAAAAAAAAAAAAAAAGAATAAAGAAAAAGAAATATAAAAAACCCCCCCCCCCCAAAAAAAAAAAAAAAAAAAAGGTATGTCCACATCCAATTCCCTAGAACCTACAAATGTGACCTTATTTGGTAAAGAATCTTTAAGATGTAACTATGTTAAGGATCTTAAGAGGAGATCATCCTACCTAGATTATTTGGGCTGGCTCTAAATCCAGTGACAGACAACTGTCTTTGTAAGAGACAAAGAGAAAGGAGACATATACACAACAGAGGAAAAGTCCATGTGATGGAGAATCAGACACTGGGGTTATGTAACCACAAGCTGAGTAATGCCTGAAGACACTACTAGAAAGCTACGAGAGACAAAAGATGAATTCTCCCCCTTAACTTCCCAGAAAGGATGAAGGCCTGCCAATATTTTGAATTTGGTCTTCTGGCTTCGAGAACTGTGAAAGAATAAATTTCTGTTCTTTTTAGTCATGCAATCTGATTATACACACATATATTTTAACATTAGCTACAGGAAACTAATGCACACCTTGTCCATGAAACAGTTCAAACTCATTAACATAGCTTCTAAGGCCATCCACAATGTAAGTCTTGTCTCTTTCTAGCTTTTAAGTTTCACCTTTTGCCTTGAAACAAATTTCAGCCAAACTTTTTTCCCCATAGTTCATTATTTGTTTTTTAAAATGTTTCTTAAACCTTCGATCACCGTAAATCATTTCAGCATGCAAAACGAATTTTCTCAGCATGAATACACTGTTTATTAGTTGAGTTAAAGATAGTATTCTTCAACTTATTACTGTTAGCATACATGTTATCATCAACAGATAATTTTCTATTTTGGTGCCCCTTAAATGTTTTGCTTTTTTCTTTTTTCGCCTTGATTCCCTTTCAGCCAAATTTAAGTTTCCTTTAAAAGTTTTATTTTGATGTTAAATATTTCAAGCTTATATAAAAACCCAGAAAATAACAAAACCAGAAACTATCACACAATTTAAAGATACTAATTTGGGGGACTAGAAGATGGTGTTAATGTTCCGTCACTGGACTCCAACATAGTCAACTGCAGTTGGGGGAGCATACTGGCACCTTAAACTCATGTAGGACATGTGTGCGTGAGTGCCCAAATCCCAAGAGGAAAATGGGGGAGAAGGGATTGTGGCGTGGCCATCCCCTGTGATGGGTGATTTCTCGCTTTCTGTCTCTCTGTATCTCTCTAGCAAGTGCATGTGCCCTATAGCAAAAAGATCTCCCCCCAAAAAAGATATTAACTTTTTGTTATGTTTATTCAGATTATTAAAAGAAAAATATTTCACTCACTTAACTAAATTCTACCTACTCACCACTTTCTCTTTGTTCCCACCTCCAAAGAAACTATTTGAAACTGTTACATAGCAACTATCTTCAAGTTTTACTACATATAGTTTGCATGTCACTTTAGTTTCACTATATATGAACTGTAAGTTACACCTAGTATTGCTCTGCTTGTTCTGGAATTTTATATATATGGTATTGTATATTTTTCTTGCTTTTCTGAAAGTAATTTTCATTTATTATAATTGTTAACTGTATTAAGAAACTACTTTTGTCACTTTATTTTGGGTAATTATATTGCCTTTTAAAAATGTTTACTACTTGCCAATTTTTGTATTTGTTTTTTCAATTTTCAATTCACTTGTTTTAATAGTTAAACTCATTCTTTTTTTTTTTTTTGGAGATGTTTTCGCTATAGGGCACGTGCGCTTGCCAGACAGAGAGAGACAGAGAGACAGAAAGTGAGAAATCACCCCCCAGGGGGGATGGTCACGCCGCAATCCCTTCTCCTCTCGGGATCTTGGGCACGCACGCACACGCGCCTGGCGTGAGTTTTAAGTCACCGGGTCTGGGACGCGAACCGCAGTTGACTACGTGGGACTCCAGCGACATAGCCATTACACTAACTGTTGGTTCCCAAACTCATTCTTCTTTTAAGTTACCCCTCCCTCAATATGTTAACAGGAATTTTTGAAATCTAAGTGAATCAATGTCTTTACCTTCTTGAATACAAACACCTTAGAATACTTCTAACTCTAATAACTCTCACTCTTCTTATAGTCAGAGAACATTTAGATATATTTAAGAGTTATGGGGAACCAGCAGTTAGCGTAATGGCTATGTCGTTGGACTCCCACTTAGTCGACCACGGTTCGTGTCCCGGACCCGGTGGCTTAAAACTCACGCCGGGCGCGTGTGCGTGCGTACCCAAGATCCCGAGAGGAGAATGGAGGAGAAGGGATTGCGGCGTGACCATCCCCCCTGGGGGGTGATTTCTCACTTTCTGTCTCTCTGTCTCTCTCTGTCTGTCTGGCGAGCGCACGCACCCTACAGTGAAAATTAAAAAAAAAAAAAAAAAAAAGAAAGAGTTATGTACAAAAAAAGTATAATTATGTATAACTGTATATATAATCTTCAATAACATAGTATCACTGAAAACAGGTTCAATTATGTTATTGAAGATAATATAGTTATTCTGAGACTATGGGTTTATAAATGCAGACTAAATGAAGTGAATAATTATTTCACACTAATTCTCCAGTGTTCTTGATAACTGGGATTCTCAGCAGGGACAAAGAAAAAGTTAAATAAAAACCATGCAGTAGTAAAATCTGAATTAGAAAGACCAGTATAAACTCATGATGTGCTCTGTCTTAAAAGATCAAATGGGGGATCAGCAGATGGCATAATGGTTATGTCACTGGACTCCCATGTAGTCAACTGTGGTTCGAGTTCCAGCCACAAAGGCTTAAAACTCATACTGGGGGACCAGCAGTTGGTGTAATGGCTATGTCGCTGGACTTCCATGTAGTTGACTGTGGTTTGAGTCCTGGACCCGGTGGCTTAAACTCACACTGGGCACGTATGCGTGCCCAAGATCCCGAGAGGAGAATGGAGGAAGAGGGGCTGCAGTGTGGCCATCCCCCAGGGGGGTGATTTCTTGCTTCCTATCTCTCTGTCTCTCTGGCAAGCACATGTGCCCTATAGCAAAAACCTTTCCAAAAAAAACCCCAAAAAAACAAAACCTCACGCTGGGCGTATGTGCCCAAAATCCCGAGAGGAGACTGGAGAAGGGATTGTTGCATAGTCATACCCCCTGGGAGATGATTTCTTACTTTCTGTGTCTCTGTCTCTCTGACAAGCACACCCATCCTATAACAAAAATCTCTCTCTAAAAAAAAAAATCAAATGGAAGCTAGTCACAGTATTGCAGCAGTAATGAATGCAACACTCTGTGCTGATAAGGACCCTTGGGAGGGTCCTAGGCTTGTGTTCCAAGATCTTCCTGTACATGCTGGGCATGCTTGTGATCCTGGCTGGGTGAGGCTAGGATGGACTGCAGTGTGAAGAATCTGTTGGGGGTGCCTATCCCTTGTCTCTATCTCTCATGGAAGACAAAAAAACAATAAACTTTAAAAAAACAGTCCTTCCCCCAAATAAGAACAAAACAAAACACAAACCGAATGAAATCCAAACAACCCTGTATTTTCTAGTTTAGGTCCACTGAACAGGCTTAGATATAATTCCTAAACTGGCGAAAGCGAGAGCACCCCTAGCATTCAGACTGTGGTTTTGAAATATGATACTCATTTAAAGTTCCCTTTGAAAGAAACAAAGGTTCTTTAAGTCAGAATGTACTAAATGATTCTGAAGCTACCATGTCATACCATATACTAAGAAAGCCATTATAATTAATGTGTCACATCAAAAGAAACAACATAAAGAGGCTTATACAAGAAAAACATAAGATAATATGACCTTCAGTATGGATAATAACTATAATGGTTTCATACACAGCAAGCATATTTAAATCTGTTAATAATACAGAAAAAAACACTTTTTTTTGAGAGAGATTTTTTGCTATAGGGAGCATTGGCTTGCCAGAGAGATAGAAAGTGAGAAATCACCCCAGAAAGGGGATGGCCTCATGGCAATCCCTTCTCCTCCAGTCTCCTCTCAGGATTTTAGGTACGTATACACACACGCCCAACTTGCGTTTCTAGACTGAGTCTGTGGCTTGATCTGTGGTTGGCCCTGTGGAAGGCCAGTGATGTAAATATTACGCCATCTGCTGGTCCCAACACAGAAATTTTTTTTAAAAAATGAAATAATCACTTTAGAGATAATGTGCTGATATTTGCTTAAAAATAATACTGGAGTCAATAATAAGAGTAGGCTACAGATGAATAAGATTGGCCCCCACATTGATAATTGTTAGATCTGAGTAATGATCACACAGGCTATTTTCACATACATTTTAATATTTTTCATTATTAAAAAAAAAAAAAAGAAAACCTGCAAGGAGTACATAAATGGTCAAATTCAAGGGTCACTGGAGCAAAAAATTTGAAGACCAGTATTCTAAACTAAAAAAGAGCAAGAATTATATTCATTTTGTAACCAAAGAATGGTAACTTGTATTACTTGATAGACAATAAGTGCTCAATAAATAGTCATTAAATAAATGAGCAGAGATGAAATCATTATCTCATGCAGTTTGAGTTTTATAAGTGATTTTTTATTTAGAAAAATAACTGTAAATTAAACTAATGACTACTTCTCCTAACAAAGCAACATACATCATGCAATTCTGGACAGAATGGTCAGAATGTAAGCATCCTTAAGAGGTTCATTTTAGAGCATTATTTTCAAATAGTATTTAACACATTTACACTTTTTCCTGAAATAAACATTTACATTTACTACCAAATATATCTCGCATTACAAGACAATTAACCACTTTAAACATGTAATTTCACAGAATCTTTCAATATAAACAACTTACCTTTCAAAGGGTGCTTTGACTCTCTTAATTACATGGTAGACAAGTATGTCTTTTACCAACATATACTTATCACTTAATGTCGTTATAAGTCTTAGACATCCAATAAGCTCTAGGTAGTTATAGCATTCATTTATTACTGAGTTTAAGTCAGTCATATTTGTTGCAGTATTTATCTGTAATGAAGGAGAAAATACACCCACTTTACCCATTTACTTGTGAGTGACATTTACACTTCAAATGATACTTATTATTTTATATTCAATTTGTGAGCATATGAGGGTAGAATGAAACTACATCAATATTTTTCTAAAATAAATGTTTGGCAACTCCAGTTCAGCAGATATTGTATATTTCTGCCTTCAAGAAACTTGGAGTATAGTATCAGTTCAGGAAATGACTTATATAAAAGGAAATAACTGACATGGATAAGTGATATACCACTAGAAAGGCAAGACAGATGACCTGAGATTTTATGAAAGAGAAAGAATGTCGGTTGAAACTTAAAAGATAGAATTTTTTCAAAAGTGTATTTTAGGACATAGCATAGAAAATGAATATTTGATCATTAAAAAAAAATTACTTACTCATCTATTATAATTATTTTTCAATTAGACCAGAGAGAGAGAGAGAAAGGGAAAGTGAGAAAGCAAGTAGCCAGGTTCAGGACTTGAACCGCGGTTGGCCATGTGGGAGTCCAGTGCCCCTAACCACCACACCACCTGCCGGCCTCATCCTTGATCATTATGTACAGGCACATAAATATAGATTAGCTCTTAAATAAAGGTATAGAGGAGAAAGATAAAAATAGGCAATCAATAATACATTAATGGGAAATTTACTTGCTATTTTTTTCACAGCATTCTTTATCTAGAGATTTATGTCATTTCCTCATATAACTTAGATCTCTGCTGAAATCTCTTTTTGACTACTCTGTTCAAAGTACTGCCTTTATACTCTTTCAGAGACTAAGAGCTGAATATATGTTGCCTCGCCCCTCCAAACTCTCCACTCTTGAGTTTTAGCTAGGTACACAGGCAAATGTTGCCTGCAACTAGGTGTGGCTATCTAACACATGTCTAACAGGAATGAGTGAAAACGGTGCACCAAACTTCCCTGCTTTCTTCTTCCACTTAAGAGCAAGCTTCAAGCATTTGGATAAAGACAATATTCTAAGTGATTACATAGTAAAAGGAAGAAATCCAATTCCTTAGAGATTTTGTATATCACAAGTGCAATTCTATAATACCAGTCATTTCTGTAAAGAGCCAGATAGTATTCTTTATTTTGTGAACCGTATGGTGTCTGTTGGAACTATTCAACTCTGTAGTGTGAAAGCAGGCAGACACAAAACAAATGTGATAGTCTGTGTTCCAATAAAACTATAAAAAGCAGCAGTGCACTATTGGCTCATGGGCCATAATTTGACAATCCTTATCTGAAAACCTAGACAACAGACATTTTTTTTTTTAGAGAGATTTTTTTGTTATTGGGTATATGCGCTTGCTGGAGAAACAGCGAGAAATTGCCCCACCAGGTAGGATGGCCATGTGGCAATCTCTTCTCCTCTTGGGGTTTTGGACATGTATACACATGCACTCAGCGTGACTTTTAAGCTGCCGGGTCCAGGACCCAACCGCAGTCTACTACATGGGAATCCAGCGATGTAACCGCTATGCCATCTGCTGGTCTCTAGACCATGAATTTGAAATAATAATAAACTTCTGCTTTTTTTGGTCATTGTCTTTTTGGGTGAATTTCTTATAGAAGTTTAGCCTAAACCCTAACTTGTATATACCAAACTATTATCTCTTTTATTCTGTTGTATTTGCCTTTATAATACATTTCACTACATGACAGTATATAGTAATTGTTTATCTGTGTTTCCTCTAAAATGTAAATTCCAAGAAGGTAGAACTTTGGTTCACTATCTTTAGTGATTACACAGTATAGGATATACAGTATTTGTTGACTATATGAAGGTTTAAACACTGGAAGTATAAAAACTGGAGTAGAAAAGTCATGAAGCAAGCTGGAGATCGTAATGCCTCATTAAGAATATCAGAACACCATCTTAGTTTATGTCCAAGTCTAGACAAAATTTAAGTTTGGTACAGTAGGTACACTACAAATAAGAAAGAAAGTTGAAGATAAGCCACTCTTAGAAACGGAATGACCTGATGCATAGCTGAAAAATGGAGTATGGAAAAATGAGTATGACTCCTCCAGGATGTCTTGGAAACAAGAAATCTCTTGGATAGAAAAGAAAAACAGGAAAAAAACAAACAAAAACAAACAAACAAACAAAAACCAACAAACAAAAATTCTGGTAAAACAATTTCCTCTCAAACATAATGGGCTCAGTTTTGTGAAGATAAAAGTCTGGAGGTTAGGGCCAGCCAGTGGTGTGGTGGTGATGACGGCTGGAAAGCACAGTCAACTGTGTGGTTTGAGTCCCAGATCTGGCAGCTTCGAAGACACACAGTGTGCATGTGTGTGTCCCAAATCCCCACAGGAAAATGGAGAGGGGATTATGATGTGACCATCACCCCTGGCAAATGCTTTTTCACCCCTCCCCCCACTCCAGGATGAGTAGCAAATAGAAAAAAAGAGTATGGAGGTTCAAAAATTTAGGTCTCTGAGTCATTGAGAAAGGTTCTGGGAGAGAAGAGGCTCTCCAAACAATATAGAATAAGGGCTATTAATACTAAGGGGGACTAGCAGATGGTGTAATGGTTACTTTGCTGTTTGAGTCCCAGACCCGGTGGCTTCAAACTCACGCAGGGAGTGTCTGTGCGCATGCCCAAGATCCTGAGAGGAGAATGAAGATGGAATTTCAGCGTGGCCATCCTCCCCAGGGGTCTTTTCTCACTTTCTGTCTCTCTGGGGAACACACAAGCCCTATAGAAAAATCTCTCTAAAAGAAGAAAAAGAAAAAGAAATATATAATATTTGGAGCCAGGAGGTGGTGTGGTGGTTAAGGTACTGTACTCCCACATGGTTGACCACGGTCTGAACCCTGGATGTGGCAGCTTGCTTTCTCTCTCTAGTCAAATAAAAAATAATAATAATGAATTAATAAAATTTAATAGAAATTAAATAATTCTTTAAGAAAGATAACACTGGATGGGAACCAGCAGTTAGCGTAATGGCTATGTCGCTGGACTCCCACGTAGTCGACTGTGGTTCGTGTCCCGGACCCGGTGGCTTAAAACTCACGCCAGGTGCGTGTGCGTGTGTGCCCAAGATCCCGAGAGGAGAATGGAGGAGAAGGGATTGCGGCGTGACCATCCCCCCTGGGGGGTGATTTCTCGCTTTCTGTCTCTATGTCTCTCTCTGTCTGGCGAGCGCACGCGCCCTACAGTGAAAATCTCTCCAAAAAAAAAGATAACACTGGGGACCAGCAGATGGTGTAATGGTTACATCGCTGGACTCCGACATAGTCGACCACGTTTCGAGTGTTGAGCCCAGCAGCTTAAAACTCATGCAGGGTGTGTGTGTGCATGCATGCTCAAAATCCTGAGAGGAGAATGGAGAAGGGATTGCAGTGTGACCATCCCTCTGTAGGGGTGATCTCTGACTTTCTGTCTCTGTCTCCCTGGTGAGCACACATGACCAATAGCAAAAAAGAAAAAAACCCTCTTTAAAAAAGAAAAAAGAAAATACTGGGGCCAACAGGTGGCGTGGTGGTTAAAGGCACTAGATTCCCACATGGCCAACTGAGTTTGAGTCCTGGACCTGGTAGCTTGCTTTCTTGCTTTCCTTTTCTCTCTCTCTCTGGTCAAATGAAAAAATAACAATAACAAATGGAATTAAATAAATAAATAATTCTCTTTTTAAAAAAGATAATATTGAAAAATGCCTAAGTTTCAGGTATAGGAAGAAGCATTAAAGACAGTAACAGTCAAAAGCAGAAGGGAATATAGTATTAAAGAAAACAGTAGAGAGGAATTCTAAGAAAGTGATGATTGCAGAAGTTAGGTAAGATGAAGAATTAGAAAGAAAGGCTTTTGGATGAGAGATTTTAGATCCTTGGAACTAGCTAGGCAGAGAGGTGGTAGAAATAGACTTCAAATTACAAGAAAAGACATGAATGTACAGAAAAAGAAAAAAAGACAATGAAGTTAAAGTACATTTTAGATAAAGAGGCCAAAAGGAAAACATGAAGATTTAAAGAGTCAATTTAAAGTATAATTTTAGTATAAGGAGTTTTTAGATAAACAGAATTGTTATTAACACTACACAGCAACTCATGCTTCCCTAGTGCTTATTTTGTGGTTTAGAAATTGAGGCTTAATGGGGCTGGAAGGTGACAAAGTGGTTAAGGGTGCTGGATTCCCAAATGGTTGACCATAATTTGAGTCCCAGACCTGGAAGCTTGATTTCTCACTTTCCCTCTCTAGTCAAATTAAAATAAATGAATAAATAAATTAAATTAAATAATTCTTAAAAAAAAAAAAAAGAAATTGAGACTTAACAAGATTAACTAACATGCCTGAGGTCACCAAGCTTATAGTAGTTATCAGAGTTGGTATTCAAACTAAAATTTAATTTCTGAGCTTATGGTTTTAATCATTAAACTATATTCTAGCTTTTAATTGAGACAGTGGTACAATATATTTAATATCAGGGAGGAGAAGTTAAATGGCTTCTATTGTGTCAATTTTTAAATCAGTAACATGTAGGCAATGATACTTATTTCATAAAACATTATGATAGAGGAGTTTGTATATGTGACATGTGTAGTACAGAACCCATTATAGGCGCTAAATAAAATAGTAAACAGTTTTAGGTGAGAACATTGTGTCTTCCCCCTTGTTTCATACAGAAAAAATTCAGTTGCATCTTTTTCTCTACTTATCACTCATCTCTCCCTCTTGGGAAAAATGGTAAGTATTCTGACTAGTGAACCAAATCCAAATGTCTTTGGGCTCACTTAAGCTACAGGAAAGTTCACTTTCATCTGCTCTTTGGCATGCAGTGAAGAACCTCCTTCACAGGAACCAGCAGTTGGCGTTAATGGCTATGTTGCTGGACTCCCATGTAGTTGACTACGCATTGAGTCCCAGACCCGGTGGCTTAAAGTCATGCCAGGTGTGTGTGGGTCTGTGGCCAAGATCCAGAGAGAAGAATGGAAGAGAAGGGACTGCAGCATGCCCATCCCCCCCGGGGGGGGGGGTGATTTCTCGCTTTCTGTCTCTCTGTCATTCTGGTAAGCAAAACCTCTCCAAAAAAAAAAAAAAGATACTTAAAAAAAAGGACCTCCTTCACACTCTCTGGTAGGGTGGACAATCCATCTAGTTTTGAAAAGTGCTGGCATGTCACTTTCGCACATATCTAAATCATATTATCCAACTGGTTTTTATCAATATTAAACCTGGCGCTCTGATCCCCAGCTGTCTGACTTTTACATCTGTACTGTAACTCTTTCTGAACTCTACTGGTAGACAGAAATGTAAGGAACTTCAAAAAGGTCACAGAAAAATGAATCAATATGAGTTTATTTTGATGCGAAAAAATTTGTTTTTTGGAGAGGTTTTCGCTATAGGGCGCATGTGCTCACCAGACAGAGATAGATTCAGAGGAAAGCGAGAAATCACCCCCCCCCCCAGGGAGATGGCCACACTGCATTCCCTTCTTCTCCGTTCTCCTCTCGGGATCTTGGGCATGCACGCACTCACCCGGCGTGAGTTTTAAACCACCAGGTCCAGGACGTGAGCCACGGTCAACTATATGGGAGTCCAGCAACATAGCCATTACGCTAACTGCTGGTCCCTTGATACAAAAGTTTTTTTGAAATCTACCTAAAGTTTTTTCAGTATATGCTTTTCCATGAACTTTTTGAAAACTTTATGTTAAACATCTAAGTACTCTACAAAATACTACTATTATATTGCAGGCAATCATTTATATTAAAAAATACCTAGAATGTAATCTATATTTTGATAGGTACATTACTTACCCTGATTATAATTTGTGCCACATCAAAATCTGAAACATCGTCTAAAACTGGTTGAGTATTTTCTGGCCCATAAACAAGGCAGTTAAACAAAGTTTTAGAAAAGAAACCAGGTGAAGGACCACCATGAACCAATGAAATGGCAAGCATTTTACCAGCTTCATAGTAAAGATTTTCTTTCAGAGCTGTAAATATAGATTAGGACATTGAACATACTCATTACTGTGAGAAAAACATCATTTGTAATGAATACATATATAATAGATTAAAAATAATCCAAAAAATCTAAGCAAAGGTATAAAATAACAATTCTTAAAACCTATTGTCATATGTAAAATATAGACCTCAAATTATACAAAAATATGTATTTTTCTGAATGTAAATAGCCTATTACAGAAAAACATGTAAATATAGACATCTTTTTAAAAAACAAAACATCTGCAATTCTGCTACCATAATAACCACACTTTGGTGTATTTGTGTGTGTGAGCATAAATACACACACAGTCTAAAGACTTTTTTCCCACTTATACTGTATAATTTTTCTTATACTATTCGAAATTACTCAAATCTACAATTAATAGCTTGCACTGCAGTTCAACTCTAAATTAGCCTTAATCTATTCATCAAATGTACTATTCTGGTTAAGTCACATTTTCAACTATATGAGACATAAGCAGTTATAATCAACGTCTAATTACATATTCTTGTATGTGTGTAAATATATATACATACATATATATATATATATGATTAGAATAGATTCCAAAATATGGTACTAGTGACTTAAAGGATGTGACTGAACATTTTTAAGGTTCTTCACGTATATGGCTAAATTATCTTCCAAAAAGGCACAAATCTACTCCCACAGTATATGCTACCTTACTATGCGCTACAGCTTTAAATTTTTTTTGAATTGTCACTTAAAATGCTTTAGCAACTTTGATGAGTCAAAAAGATACTATGTAGTGCCAGCAGATGACACGGAGGTTGAGGCACTGTTTGAGGCATATGGCCAAATCCACAGTTTAAATCCCAGACCCTGCAACCTGAAAAACATGCCAAGTGTGCATGCGTGCATGCCCATAATCCCAGAAGAAAGTGGAGGAGAGGGGATTGTGGTTTGACCACGACCCCTCCCCCAGGGAGTGACTTCTCACTTTCCCTTTCTGTCTCTGTCTCTCTCCGGTAAGCCCATGTGGCCAATGGTAAAATGTCTGAAGATACCATGTAAATTTTTTTCATTTTTTTGGTTAATTTTTCAAAGCAATTTATTATTAAATTAACATTAATAACACCGGAATTAAAAAAAAATCTTCGACAAAAATCTTAAAAGCTATACAGTAATAGTCATGTTTTTATAGATGAAGAAACTTGAGATCCAGTGAGGGCAAGTGATTAATCTAAGGACGCAAATTAAAGCTACCAAAGCAGATGTATATAAAACTGAATTCAGACTAAAAAATAATCTTTTTTTTTGTAAGAGGGTTTGCCATGATCTTCTGCCCCAGTCTCCCAGTTAGCTAGGATTACAGGTGTACCCCACAGCACCTAGCATGATCAGGTACGTCTATGATCTGAGTCACGGCCTCCCATTTGGCTTCAGCCTTGTGTAGCGGGCACCTTATTGCTTATGCCACTGTAGGGGTCAGACTTCAGATTTTGTGCCTTAAATTCATGTACTCTTCCACTACCAAAGCTGCCTTGAGTAACCATAAATTTTAGGGACCTTTTTAAAAAGAGAATTTAAGAATTAAACTGTGTGTACTGTAACTAGTAAAATGGATGCTTTAGGCAAAGGTGAGAAAGTTCTAGGGAAAATATAGCTGGAAATTCAATCAGAATAAAATAAATTCTTCTCATTCCATTTTGACTTTCATGTTGCTGCAAAAGTGGTATAAAAAAATCTTAAAATTGTGGAATTGGGGCCAGCTGGTGGCATGGTGGTTAAGGTGCTGGATTCCTATGTGGCTGACAATGATTTGAGTCCTGGATCCAGAGGCCTGAAAAAAAATCACACCTGGAGCATGTGTGTACCCCAAATCCCAAGAGGAGAATGGATTGAAGCATGGACATTCCCTCTGGGGAGTGATTTCTCACTTTCCCTTTTTCTGTCTCTCTCCAGCAAGCACAAGTGCCCCATGGCAATTACCTTTAAAAAAAAAAAAAGAAAACAACCAAAATGAAAGTGCTAGAATTTTGAGATGCTTGTTTTATCACATTAAGTCTCTACCCACAGTAAATACAGAAAAGTATCATACACATTATTGTGCAAAATTCCTGGAAACAAAAGTATATTGAAAAATCTGTTGCATGTGGACCAGAAAACTATTATTAAGAGTCTATGTTGTAAGAAATGGGCCAACTGCAAATTTCAAATACATAAATAAAAAAGTTTGAATCATCAATCCCAGCCAGCTACTCTATTCCAACGAATTAAAATGAATATAAAGTACATTTAAATAAAATTATACCTAACTATAGAATCACTTTGAGGGTATTACTATAAAAAAATAGATGTTCTTAAAAATGTTTCACCACAAAACATACTTTTAAAAATATCATCCACTCTTTTAAACTTTGCTGTGATTCTCATCAGTTTATTAGCAAAGTAAATTATATAGAGAGACCACAGGAATTAATTATCTATTATAACCAGCCATCTGTTTCTTTTTTAACATGTGATATTCAGTATGTACAATAATAAATAATTACCTTGAGAATTTAGAGACAAGTTCTTTGACAAGGACCCTTCAAACAGTGATGAATTCTCAAGATGCTGCATTAAGAGACTTAGAAATTCTTGCTTTGATCCAGGATGTTCTCTTCCAAAATGATCATTTTCATTTACATACACTACTTCGATTGTGTATGAAGGGTTAAAGTTTCGATTTCTGAATTCATCTACGGCACTATTCCAGATATTGGCTTAGTTGATACATAATCTTTTAGTTTTTTTTTAAATTTGGAATCCTAACTCTATCAGTATAGTTGAGATATCTCTTTTAAACTTGCTGCCTTGCCTATAAAACATAAATTTAAACATAGCAGTAAGTACTTTAAAGTACTCTGTATAAAACAGCAGCTACACAGCCAATAAAGAAGAAAAAAAAGATTAAAAGGGTACTTGTCCCCAACTCCCACTGAAAATAGAACAATGGCTGCTACTGGAAACAGTTATTTGATAACTTTAGTTTTAAACTCTTGATTCCTTACCCCAATCTTCTACCAAATTAGAATTATTTTTAAGAATGTTGATAGATAATTATGTCAAATTTGACCAGTTCAGTCGATTCAAGCTTAAGAGTCAAAAGCTCAAACTCTTTCTCCCAGCCAATGGCTAAAACATAAACTTGCTTATAGTTTTTTTTCCTATTCAATAGTTCCTTTAAAAAAAAAAAAAAGGCAAATGTAACCTCTGCTTCCTATACAAGAAAACTTGGGTTTTGGGAGATTATAGAATATATTTTTAATAAGGAAATGGTAACAGTAGAGCTAATATTCTAAAATGAATTTATGGTCCTTTAAATAGTACCTTTTGGCCTAGACCAGTAATTCTCAAAAGTATGCTCTCCTAGACCAGTAGCAGCAGCAGCATCTGGGAACTTGTTAGAAATACAAATTACTGAGTTTCACAGCACATCTCGAGAATCAAAACCTCTGGGGTTTGATTAAGCAATCTGTGCTTTAACAATCCAGTTGACTGTATGGACTAGATCAATTTCTCTTGTCTTAGCTTCTCCATCTGTGAGGGGAACTGATGTACTCACAATAATCTTGAGTACTGCTCATGGATCTTCTTTCTACACCAAGTATAAACCTGTCCTATCCCAAGCCATTACAATGCCCCAGTGTGGACCAGGCTTTGCTTTTTCTTTGTGTGAAAACACAATCACCTATTAACTCAAGTTGAAGAAATACAAAGTTCTCTGGAAGTAAGATAATTCTTCAGAATATCACCTTATAGCAGGTGGATTCCTTGTTCCTGCTTGGATCAATGGGAATGCTGATGCTATTCTTCTAGAGCATGACTGTATGTTTAAGCAGGAGCAAGGAGTCAAACTTTCTTAGAGAAACATCTTTGGAAAACTAAATGTTAAAATTATTTTAAAATAATGTGAACATCTTTTTCAATACTAAAAGTATTATAGCAATATTTATAACAGATATTTCAATTGATTAACACCAGTGACATTTTAAAACAAGAATTCACTTTTTGAAAAGCATAAAACTTGTCCACAAATCCAGTTAAGAAATATTTTCACAAAAATTATCTTTTCTATATTCTAGGTTTTTAAACTTGAAATTATTTTTTAACAAGGAAGCTCTTCATCATATTTAGCTACTAATATTACTTTAATACTTTCTTTCTATTAGGAAAAGCAAGAATCTTAAAAACTCTTTTGAAAAGCTACATAAACATAAAAATCATAACTACAATTAAACAAATAAATACCTAATATAGCATAAAGATGTAATTCCAGTCCAATTTTTTATGAATTTTTTAACAGTTAAGAATTAATGTAATAATATATTCCTTCCCTCTAATCTGTAGGGAATATATTAAAAAACTAATATGTTCTAAGACTCCAAGTAGATGCCTGAAACTGTCTAGTACCAAACCCCGTACATACTATATATTTTTCCCTAGATATATATTACCCATGATAAAGTTCAATTTATAAATTAGGCACACTAAGAAATTAACAGCAACATAGAATCATTTTAAGCATAAACTATAATAAAAGTTATATGACTGTGGCTCTCTTATTGTATTGTACTCACTTATTTTTTAAACCACAATTGACCATAGGTTACTGAAACAACAGGAAGTAAAACTGCAGAGAAGAAAGGACTAACTGTATTTTTAAGTATGCCTTACATTTTTTTAAGTGAAGAGATGGCATTCAGACTCCTGACATAAATATATTACATAATGATTATATCAAAATATAAGCCATCTCTATATTAAATACTATATAGGATTCCTTCTTTTTAACAAAGTTAGTGACATAGTATGCTTGATATTTAATGTCCTATCTTATCTGTAATCAAATAACAAATTAAGCATATTTTCTAGATCTGTGTTTTTCAAACTATCTTGAATATGATCTATAACTACAAGTTTTACATCACGACTTGGTATACAATAAAATAACTAAATAGATTTTACTACATTATGCCTATGTACAATACAATCTGATACCTTTTATTCTGTTCTAAGATATTTTGTTTTCTTTTTTTTAAATGTTGGCTGCACTAATTTCATGATCAAATGTTGGATCCTGTAGTTTGAAAAACACTCTTCCAGACTACCAATCTTCTACCAAAACAATATTCTAATTGCGTATGGTATTTCCTGGCACAATTTTCTCCAAACAGATTTTTAAATTTTCCTCCAAATCAAAACACACACCTTATCAGATCTTTGCTCTGAGGTCCCGGTGACTGTCTGGGTAGCTTAGGTGATGACTCTTCCAACAAGCAATCAGTAATCCCCACATTAGAGTTGGGTAATGCATGCTTTTTTGCTTTTTGGAAATCTACAGATTTAAATTCCAATGTCAGCATATAAGAAACAGGTAGAAACTTTTTAAATAACAGGCACTTGAATAAAAACACTTTTATTCAAAACTGTAAAATATTACCTGAGTTGTAGATAATACCTCTACATTCCAAACACTCCCAATTTTGTTCCCATGATCGTAGTGAGGAACAGGCTAAATGTGTTCCACTAGAACCACAACACTGACAGCGTTTTATTTCCCATTTGCTGAGGACATAAAGAAAAGTATAGGCTTACATTTTGGTATTAACGTTAGTGTAGTTTCAACCACCAGCACTGCCATAGGCTTGCCCCCTGCCCACACAAACACAATCAAGCTTTTATCAAAGAAAGGAAAACCGACTATATGCTTTGAAACTACATTACTTTCCCTTAAGTACTTTCTAAATTTCACTTATTATTGTTTGTAACTACTTTTTCTGAATATATTTTAACTTAAAAAGCTAAACTAATTTAGTGTCAATAGGTAAACCCACTTTTATATACACAAATAATTTAAACACAGAAAGAATATTAAGGGGGAGAAAAAATTTCCTTTGTATTTGGAGATGACGACACTCTAGGAAGACTGTTATGTCAGTGTGTCTGATAAGGAATGAAGCGTTCAGTAAATTTCAAGGTTAAGAATATGTCCTAAAATAAACTTTCTCAGACACCTCAGGTACTACACAGCTCACAAGATCCAAACTGCCCTGATTAATAGTCACATTCTCTCTCATCTGTTCCCTTTCATGTTTCCGCACTGGGTTGTGACATGTACCTCTCCATAGTCACACACTTCTGGGTTGTAGTGTGGGGTTCTCTCTCTCTGTGTGAATATCAGTACATCTTCTTTGTATAGGAACAGATATAGCTCTCTGAGTATGTGGAAACATGGGTGGCAAGAGCATGGTAAGACATCCTCTCCAGCCCACAGGTGTAGGGTATCATCACTCTGTGTGGGTATGGTTGTGGAGGTGTGAATCCTCTATGTGTATGTCCCAACCTCTTTTCCAGATGGTTCTGCCCACTGCTGATGAGGAGGAAGATGAGAGCTAACATGAGTGCTCACGATGCATCAGGTCCAGTTATTTTTTTACATGAAAAGTTTAACCCTTCCAACTATAGAAGGTAGCGAGAACTACTGTTACCCTATTTGTTTTTAAGAGGCTTTTGCCTTAGGATGCATGTGCTTGCCAGTGAGAGAGAGAGAGACAGAGACAGTGAGATGGAAAGAGGGAATGGCCACACTGCAATCCCTTCTCCTCCATTCTCTTCTGGAGATCTTTAGCACGCACACATGGGCCTGCCATGAGTTTTAAGCCACTGGATCGGAGACTCAAACCGTAGTCGGCCATGTGGGAGTTCAGCAACATAACTGCTATGCTATCTGCTAGCCCTAAGTTACCTCCATTTTAAAGAAGAGAAAAACAAGGCACAGAGGGAGTAAATAATGTCAAGTATCAGATTAAGGTTTCTAACTCAGTTTACATAGCTTCAGACCCATGCTCCTAACCACTACCACATTACCCTTCACCAAAACTGCCTTCCCTTCACTAGGATGGAGGAGTGTGATTATAAAGCAAGCATTCAGACAACAGATATCATGTCCTAGAAGAAAAGGCAAAGAATGACAGCAATCTTAAGTAGCTGCCAGAAAAAAAAGAGGGGTTTAGTAGCTACCAGTTAGGTGACCAATGGAATACAGTTTACAGTCCGTTTGCAGTGACATAGGTTGCAGGGTGCTACCACATGATATTGGGGCTACATGGGAGGCACAGGTTTGGATCCTGGGTCAATCTGAACATAACAACCATACCCACGCACCTGCGATCCTAGCTGGTTGAGAGTCTGGGGGAGGACCATGGCGTGGAAAGACCCTGTCAAGGGTACCTTCTCTCTTTCTCTCATGACTTAACAAAGAGAGAGAGAGAGAGAGAGATAAAACAGCCAAAATAAATTTAGAAAGTATCAAATATTAATGAATGCATTGCTTCTTAGAACCCTATATACATTATTTCACTTGTGCCTCAGTACAAATGTTGAGGGATGAATTATCAGTGTTTACAAATGAATAATTAAGATCACTAGATCAAGTAAAATGAACAAGACTACATGTTACTTGACACCTTCAATGAGACCTCTGCCCTTGAAGAATTTCTGATTTAATTGCATTAAATTTAAGTACTGCCAATTATATTTTTAAAAACACAATGGGGCCAGTAGGTGGTGTGGAGGCTAAGGCAGGGGATCCCACATGACCAACGCGGCAGCATGAGTTATGGACTCAGCTGTTTGAAAATCATGCTGGGCACATGTGCATCCATGCCCAGAATCCGGAAGGGAGAATGGATTATGGTGTGCTCATTCTCCCTGAAAGGTGATTTGTCACTCCTTCCACCACAATTCTCTCTGGTGAATGCACATGGCTTACAGAAAAAAAATTTTAAAAAACCAAAAAACAAGCAAAAAACCCCCACAATGAACCCTATCTCTTAAGTGGAGAATCAGGAGTGGGATGAGTTGTTTTGGGAAAACTTTCCAAAGTGGTCAGCTGAACTTTCACAAACCAGTAGTAACTGACCCACCCAAAGCACTTTCCATGAGAAACAGCACTCCCCGTTCCCCCCCCCCATTCTGCTCTGCATTCTAAGTTTACAATATTAAATAAGATTATGTAACAGGGATAACAATCTGTTCACTTTTCTTGCATAAATATTGACAAAAATGGATTTACTTTCTATCCTGCATCTTAAAAAATGAAGACACTGGTCTAGTAGGTGGTGTGGTAGTTAAGAAACTGGATTCCCACATGGCCAACCAAGGTTTGAATCTGGACTCGGTGACTTGAAAAATCACACTGGGCACATGTGTGTGCATGCTCGAAATTCTGAGAGAAGAAAGGGATATAAATGATTGCAGCATGACCACCTACCCCCGGAGGTGATTTCTCCTTTTCCCTCTTTTGTCTCTCTTGTAAAGCACATGTGCCCTATGGCAAAAATCTAAGGAAAAAAAAAATGAAGACACTCTTGGTTCCTAGTACCCAATACAGTATATAAAAGGCACAAAAATGACTTGAAAAACATAGCTATGGGCCAGCAGGTGGTATGGTGGTTAAGGTACAGTATTTTCACATGGCCAAATGCAGTTTGAGTCCCAGACCTGGTAAGCTTGAAAATCATGCCAGGTGTGTATGTGTGTGCATGCCCAAAATACCGAGAGGAGAATGAAAAAGGGACTGCAGCATGGCCATCCCCAGTATGTGTATATGTGTGTGGGGAGCGTTAATCACTTTTCCTCTCTTCATCTCTTTGTCTCTCTCTGGTGAGCACACACACCCTGTGGCAAAAAACTAAAAATAAAATAATTAAAAAAAACATAGAAATACAGCCATTATCTACTGACATTACAAAAGAGAAATCAGTAAATTTCAAATGCCTAACTCTTTTTATACTGGCCCAAAAGAAACACTGCTAGATTAATATAAGTAAACTACCCTCTAGTCCAGTAGAAAGACAATGCAAACTATATGTGTAATTTCAAATTTTCTTGTAGTCACATGTAAAGATGTAAGAACCAGAAATAAATTTGAATGTTTTATTTCAAATATAGTATCATTTTGACACGTAATGCATATAAAGTTACTGACAAGATATTAATATTCTTTTTTTCATATGATTAAGAGCAGAATTATATCCCTCCCACTCCAAATTCTTATGTTGAAATGAGTCCTAACACCTAGTACCAGAGAATGCAACTATATTTGGAGATAAACTTTTAGAGGTAGTTACAGTAAAATAAGGTCCCATGGGTGGTCACTAAGCCAAAGAGGGGTGTCCTTTTAAGGATAGGTAACATGAAAGAGCAATTACATAAGGCCATAGGTATTAGAGAGCCATCTGCAAGCCAAGAAAAGAGGCCTCAGAAGAAACTAATCCTCCTATTACCTTGATCTTGGACTTCTAGCCGCCAGCATTGTGACAAAATAAATTTCTGTTATAGCAGGCATCCAGTCGGCGGCATTTTGTAATGGCAGCCCTAGCAAACTAAGTCTCTGACATGTATTGTATACTTACAGCACCTTCCCAATTTAGAATAGTCATTATTTTAAGTACACATTTAAGTACTCAATAGTATATATGGCTAGTGACTGCTATATAAGATATGATAGCTACAGAAAATACAGTTTCAGGAAAAAAACACCAAAGAAATAACATATAGCTATACTAACAAATTCCTCTGTAACCAGGCGTAAATACACATTTAACAAATATATATGTCATCTCGATTAAAATTTCAAACATTCTAAGAGCGATACTACTTATGTTCCACTAACTAGAAAATCTACTTTCTCAGCTGAAGGTTTAAACAAGGAATCACTAAGCACATCTGAATTTCCATAGTACCTATGAGGTGCATTATAATCTCGCCCTTCTTTGCAACGACATCTTCGGACATCACAATGCTCATGGTACTGCAGAAGATCTTGATAAGCATTTTCTTCTAATTCCCAAGATGCATCTCTATAAGTGAAGCAAGATATAAAATATACTTTATCCTAAAAATGTTACATAAAAAGATCAGTAATGAATCTAAAAATAAAAACCTTTCACTTACATAGAAACAAAGATAAACTTTGTCTTTTTAAGGTTCAATCATTGTCTTCAAGATATAAAATCCATTAGTGTCATTTTATTCTAGTTAATTTGTCTCACACTGAATTTTTTCAATGTGAAATGAAAAATTAAGCAGAAATTTTCTAAAATTTACATTTATTTTCTCTAATAGTTGACGTCTAATTTTTAATTTCAACTTTACTATCATCATTTCTGGATTCCTCACCTTAAGCATTAAGAAAATACTTCTCATATATATATGTATATATATATATTTTTGGGGGGGTTGCTATAGGGCATGTGCACTCACCAGAAAGACAGAGACAAAGAGACAGAAAGTGAGAAATCACCCCCCCCCCAGGGGGGGGGCGGGGGTGGCCTAGCCGCAATCCCTTCTCCTCCATTCTCCTCTCGGGATCTTGGGCATGCACGCATAGGCGCCTGGCATGAGTTTAATCCACTGGGTCCAGGACTCGAACTGCAGTCAACTACATGGGAGTCCAGCAACATAGCCATTACGCCAACTGCTGGTCCCACTTCTCATACATTATAAACCACATATTGATTCTCTTAATTTATAGATTTTTTTGGGGGTGGGGGAGAGGTTTTTGCTATAGAGTGCGTGCACTCACCAGAAAGAGAGACAGAGAGACAGAAAGCGAGAAATCACCCCCGGGGGGTGGGGTGAGGTGGCCACACCACAATCCCTTCTCCTCCATTCTCCCTTGGGATCCAGGGCATGCACGCACATGCACCCGGCTGAGTTTAAGCCACCTGGTCCGGGACTCAAACCGCGGTCGGCTACATGGGAGTTCAGCGACACAGCCATTACGCTAACTGCTGATCTCTTAATTTATAGATTTTTAAGCCTATTATAATTGTGCTTAAATCAATTAACAGTTGAACACAGCTGAAGTAATTAAGAAACTACAAATCAACTAATGAGACATTTATATCAGAGTTCCTGCTCTTAAAGAAATGGAAACCTGGGGAGGAAAAAGCAGTTTTATATTTCACCATTTGAAATGGCTACCTGCCCATGATCACTTAATCACACATAAGTGATTATTTCCACTGCTATTAAATTAAATTCTACATTTAAAATACTTTTTGTCAAAAAGCTAAATGTTACTTACTTTTCAGGAATATGAATGCCCATTCTCAACATCTCTTTCTGAAAGATATCACTATTATTACATATTGTACACCTAAAGAAAAACACTCCAGCATTTATTGCTTGAACCTACAGTGGAAAATAGAAAAACCATTGTTAACAACTTAAGTCTGGCGGGGCCGGCAGGTGGTGTGGTTGTGGTAGTTGAGGCATTGTACTCTCACATGCCCCACTGCAGTTCGAGTCCTGGACCTGGCAGCTTGCTTTCTCACTCACCCCTCATCAAATTACAATAATAATAATAATGGATAAAATTAAATAAATATTTAAAAACAATTTAGGTCTGTTAGCAGATTATGAATTATATAATGAACAGAACACGTGCTATTTTTCACTTAATATTATCATGAAAACATTTTCTATGTTAGTGGTTCTCAAATTTTAACTTTAAACACTAAGTTATCACGGGGCTAAAAATCTGGAGATCTTTTCTCCCCAGTGGTGTTTTTTTTATTTTTCCCTTAGGTTTTTTTGCTATTGGGTGTGTGTGTTCACTGGAGAGAGACAGAAAGTGCTAGTTGTCTAAACATAGAATCTTCTTCCAACCACAAATCTTCCCCAACCACAAATCTTCCCCAACCACAAATCATTCCCTAAGTATATCATCCCAGGTGAGGATGGCTCTGCTGCAATCCCTTTTCCCCCATTTTCCTCTTTGGATTTTGGTCAACCACACACACGTACCCAAGGTGATTTTCAAGTCACTGGGCTGAGGACTCAAACTGAGGAGTCAGCTATGTGGGATACAGCACTTTAATCACTACACCACTCGCTGGCTCTTTTTTCTTTCTCTCTTTCTTTCTTTTTAAAGCTATTGAACAGACTATTAGCTTTGTATACATCACACATAGTTTTCTCAACCTTTGGTACTTATTATTTCTCTTCCTTTTAAATACTGTGTTGTCGTCTATACAACTGTGAGGGAAAACAGTGCAACTCTTGAATTACTCCTTCTAAGAAGAATATTTAAATAAGTGTGACATATCAATCATATTTGGTTCTAAGTATGTTCTCTTCCTCAAAGAAGAGAAACCTATTCTCTCTGCTACAGCAAATACCAGTACAGATGCAGTAGACAAATGGTACTCAGAAGGAAAGTAGAAATGGTAAGCCTACTAGAAAGAGTAGTCAGTCCCAACAAAAAACTAGTAGCACACATTCACTTAACAATTATTTAACCCCTACTTTAGAGATACCAAACACTACACTATATGCCAAAAATAGAAACATATGACTTAGATTGAACTTCAAAGAATCCTAATGAGTAGGTACACATATATACAACTGAAGTATTGTGTAAAATTTTTTTGCTTCTTGTTTTGTTTTTGAAGTATACACATGAAGAAGTACCTAAATCTATGGTGACAATAATGTCAAGGGATAGTGAACCTGCAATTAAGTTTGAAGAAGAAATAGAATTTTGGCAGGAAAATAGGTACAAAACATATTCCAAGGATAAGGAATAACATACATCAAGTCTGAGCTGCAAGAGCAAGAACATGTGACTAGAGAAATACATGAATACATCAGGGGGTCAGTGGTGACACAAGAGGAAAACAATGCTCTGAGGGGCTGACCCACACGAGATATTTCCAGGTTCGGGTATGGAGATCTTCCCGAGGACTCTGAGCACACAGGCATCCATGATCTGGGCCTAGAGGTAGACTGTAGTGTTAAGATCCTATTAGGGGTACTCTCTCTTTATCTTTCTTCCTCATGGAAGAAAAAGATTAATTTTTAAAAACTACAAGATGGGACCAGCAGGTGGCATAGTGGTTAAGGCGCTGGACTGCCATATGACCAATTGTGGTTTCAATCTGGATCTGATGGTTTAAAATTCATGCCAGGTACATGTATATATGTACCCAAAATCACAAGAGGAGAATGAAAGAGAAGGAATTGTGGTGTGACCAATCCCCCTAGGGGGTGACTTCTCACCTTCCCTCTCACTGTCTCTCTTTTTCTTGCAAGCACACACATCCTATGGCAAAAACTTTTTTTAAAGAAATTACAAGACACTTAACATTATGGCCAAATAAACTAAAAATAATGATGCTAGACAGGTAAATAAAAGTCAGTGTTATGGAGAATGAATCGATAAGGTACTTAGGAAAAAAACAACTAGCAGTCTCCAGCAAAATATGTCAAGTTTAAACAGCTAGAGAGGGGTTTTAACAAAAAAGTATAGACAAAAAATATTTATTAGGTAAAGCTGATATACTTAAGGAATAATTTATGGATGGAGAACAAAGAAAATTCCATGTTTAGACAGCTAGCAAGTGGCATATACACACAGAGAACGTATGGCAAAGAAGCAAAAGTTACTGAAACATCTGAACCTAAACAAGCTTTGAGCAACTGCAGACAGTTGCCAGATCTTACTCATGTATGATATGACACAAGGAAGTTTTAGATATGGAGGGAAAAAACAACATAGGACACATGGATGATACTAATAACATTAGAGCAATGACAGAAATCCAAGCTGAACAAGAATAATGACAATTCTTTAGATACACAGAGTGAAAATTTTTTACTAATTTCTTTGAGTACTTTTTTGTGTGTAAATTATTTTTTTAATCTCATTTTCTTTTATACATTCAATCACATTATTATTTGTCTTACAAAATGGATATTTCAACAGGTAAACATTTCTCCCTAGTACAGTTGATAAAACTACAAAAGATCTTCAACAGATAATACCACATTTCTTTGTGCCATTTTTGCTTTGCCTCTCTATTTTTCTTCTAAATGTCCTTCCTCAGACCCTCCTCTTTGATTACTTTTAGTTGCTAGGAGGTTAATGAACTAACCAGAGAGAAAGGAAGAAAGAAAGAGACAGGGAGAGAGAGAACATCCCCTAATGGGTGTGGTCATGCCATGATCCTTTTTTCTCCAACTCTTCCTTCCAGTCAGGCAGGATCTTGGGCATGCATGCACAAGTGCCAGCATGTTTTTCAAGCTGCCAGTGCCAGGATTTGAAACTACAGTTCAGTGGGATCTGGCTCCCTCTAAATACTGAGCTACAAGGCCAGTCTACCAATTTCTTTGATATTAATCTCTAGTCCCTCCCCAATGTGTAGTACTTACAAATACTGACATTTATTTAACTACTTGCAGCTAAATATACCAGATAAATTCATATTATTATTTCAGTTAAGACTGTGGTTGGTACCAGAATGGAAAAGCGCTGGTACTCCTTGAGAGAAAATGACTCAACAATTGGCCCTGTCTTAGTACGCTCTAATTAAGTAGTAACTGATTATTGATATTTATATTATAACCAGGTATCTGTGTAGTTGTGATTTTACATTTCATTTGAATAAAACAGGCCTATTTATTTTTGTTAGTAATATTATTTCTACATTTTTAATGATAGAATTAAAAACTCTGAATTTTCTGAGTGATCACATAAAAAGCCCTATGAATATGCTAGGTCAAGTTTGAGAACCCTTCTCTGTTTCATTACTATCACATATATGAGGCAAATCTAATTTGTCTTGAAGAATAACATATGGTTATAAAATTAACAAGATGACACATTTGGCAGCAATTGCATTTATTCAAATGTAAACTCTTAATGTAAATATTATATTTTAAAGATTCTCATATATTGTGAATTTCTTCTTCAATAGGTAAGGATAACACTTCATGATATTGCTTATTAACTGCACTTTCTGGGATTCTTTTATAAACACTTCTTTGTAAGAATTAACACAATTTTTAATACTTCCTCAACAAACTAGGCTCCATCTTGCCTCTTTTTTAATATAATTATTTAATTTATTCATTCATCTATTTTTTAATTTGACCAGAGAGAGACAGAAGGTGAGAGTGAGAGAGAGAGGAAGTGAGAAAGCAAGTCACCAGATTCAGGACTCAAACCCTGGTCAGCCATGTGGGAGTGTCCAATGCCTTAACCACCACACCACCTTCTGGTCCCATCCTGCCTCTTTTAACTAAATAATTATAAGTAAAAAAAAGTTCTAGGTCCATATTAAAAAAAAAAAGAAAAGCAAGAAATCCAATTTTATTACTTTAAGTACTGTTAGTATTTTTAACTTTATTGAAATATAAGAATATTCACATCTTCTAATGTTAAAAAGTATGTCTGTGGATAATTTGCAACCAGAGGTAACATTTCACTTTACTAAACAATAATAAAATCCAAGCTTAAGAAAAGGTATTAAATTTAGATTGGGTGCCTATGTGTGCATACCCCAAAATCTCAGGCATGTCCACCCCCCCCCCCAGGGAGTAATTTCTCACTTTCTCTCTCTCTAAACCTTGCTCTCTCTCTAGCAAGTGCACATGCCTTATGGCAAAAACTAATAAAGAAAGAAATAAAGAAAAGGGTGTTTTAAGGAAAAAAAGCAGTATTATACTTAGTCAAATCCTTTACTACAGTGTCTATCGGTTGGTATTTTCACACAAGAATATCACATATTTGATTATTAATAACTGTGATCTTTTTAAAAATTTCAAGTATTTTTCCAAATCCAAGAAGTATCAATTATACTTAATGTAATATGTTTTATATTTACTTTAAAGCTAGTCATCAGGCTTAATATAAAAGGTGACTCAAAGGACCAATACTTTTAATTCATTGATAACAATCAGTTCTCTGTCAAGAACTTATGATAAAGTATTTAATATAGAGAAAAATTTTAAATTAATGTTTAAATACCTTAGCTTGCAATCAAGCTTACTGTTATTTCACATATGTTGATTTTATAGTTTAAATATGTAAATGGAATATAAGAATTAGAATCTGTTTTATTCGTTGTTAAACAGAAATAAAATTCTTAGGTAAAACAACAAAATTTGATAAGTATACATTAAAAGGTTGCATCGAGGGGCCAGCAGATGGCGGAATGGTTATGTTGCTGGACTACCACGTAGTAACCACAGTTTATGAGTCCGGGACCCAGCAACTTAAAAACTCAGGCCAGGCATGTGTGTGTGTGCATGCCCAAGATCCTGAGGGGAGAATGGAGAAGAAGGGATTTCAGCGTGACCACCTCCCCCCCCCGCCAAGAATGGGTGATTTCTCACTTTCTGTCTCTCCTTCTCTGGCAAGCGCACAGTCCTATAGCAAAAATCTCAAATAAATAAATAGATAGATAGATAAAAGAGGTCACATCTAAAGCATTTATTAAAATGTCAATTATATACTTGGGTAGAGTGAACTTTACATGTAAAATACACTTCGAAATAAATGATTTAAAGTTGTCTGAAAAAGTTACAAGCAATAAGAAAACTAATATTCATTTCAATGCTTTATCATTTGAAATTCCAACCAGCAACAAATCAGAGAAAGCTTTGAAAACATGCCTTACCTGTAAACAGTCTCTATGAAACCAAGCATTCCTACAACAAGGACTTCGTAAGATATTATAAGTTGGAACAGGCTCAACAAATTCCAGGCAAATGGTGCATGGTAAGGAGTCTCTATAATTATTAGATGGAATTATTTGAACAGGTCGATGTTGCCAACAAAATGACCTAAAATGTAAATTATTTAAGAACACTATCTTATGCATTGCAGAACATAACTATGTCAGTTTTATAAGTCATGCTGTGTAAGAAAAAAATCATCTATATCTCACAACCTACAACAGACTGAAGCCCTGACATTATAAATTAGTCTACTAATGTCAAAATGTGTAATATCTTCATGTTTAAATTTGTATGAAAGAATCAGATATTTTTAAGGGCAACCCCAGGCATAATATGTATTTTTCAGACTCAACAAAATTTACATGCCTTAATTTTCTCAGTGAGAAATGCAGAGAGCTCTGTGAAATAAAAACAGTGCATTAATTCTTTTTTTTTGGAGAGGTTTTTGCTATAGGGCGCATGCGCTCACCAGACAGACAGAGAGAGACAGAGAGATAGAAAGCGAGAAATCACCCCCTAGGGGGGATGACCACGCCACAATCCCTTCTCCTCCATTCTCCTCTCAGGATCTTGGGCACGCATGCACATGCACCCGGTGTGCATTTTAAGCGACCGGGCCCAGGATGCTAACCATGGTCGACTATGTGGGAGTCCAGCGACATAGCCATTACACTAACTGCTGGTCCCACAGTGAATTCTAAAGAGTGACGTATAAACCTAGAATTCTTTATGGTAACAATTTTCGCTGTTTTAATTTAATAGTTCCATGTTTTTGCCTAGAAATGAAAGCTTTAAATAGTAATCACTAGGCATATTCTAGACATGGTCAATCTCTAAACCTGCTACGTTGATATATTATAAATAAATTCAGTAAAAAAATTATACACAGAAATTATATCACTGAGATATCTATTTCCCAGTGTTCTTTAACATTCATATAAGATATTAAATAACTCACGCAAAATTGCCAGTAAACTGGAAAATACATTCTCTCTGAAGTCCACATGGGAAATGGTAGCTTCGTTTACACCGGGGTGCAACACATCCAATTGAAGCACCAGTTTTCTTGCAAACACTGCATTTCTAGAAGAAAATATGACAATATTATCCATAACATACAAATCAGAATAATATGATCAACGTATAATGGAATTTTCCTTGTGGAGAGTTTAAAAATTATTTTTTATTTATAATATTTGTGATGATAGTATATTAAAGAGGCTGAGGTCTCTTGGGCAGCCCAGGTTCAGTTCCCGGATTAACTTAGGCGATCCTAGCTAACTGACAGGCTGGAGCAAGAGAACTGCAACATGGTGAGAATGACAGAAATAACTCTTTCTCTCATTTAAAAATAAAAAAGAAAGGTATATCCTGAAAAACCTACTGTACCTAGAAACAACCTAAAGACATTAAAGATTTTCTTCTAAAATTTATGATAAAAGAAACATCTGAACCTAATAGGAGGATGAGACCAAGAGGTTCATTTTTCTTCCTATCTACTAAATTTTTTTTTTTTTTGGCTATAGGGCGCGTGTGCTTGCCAGTCACAGAGAGGGACAGAGAGACAGAAAGCGAGAAATCACCCCCCCAAGGGAGATGGCCACACCGCAATCCCTTCTCCTCCGTTCTCCTCTCGGGATCTTGGGCATGCATGCACATGTGCCCGGTGTGAGTTTAAGCCACCGGGTCCGGGACTTGAACTGTGGTCGACGACGTGGGAGTCCAGCGACATAGCCATTACGCTAACTGCTGGTCCCTCTACTAATATTTTAAAGTGAAGATTTTATAAACATAATAGTTATACATAAAAGTGTCATTGAAATCTCAATAGCATAGCAATTAGGAAACACCAAGAACAACAGGAAAACGATACTAGAAACCAATTCCTAAAATATTGGCTAAAATGGAGCCAGGGCCAGCAGGTAGCCCAGTGGTTAAGGTGCTGGACTCCCACATGACTGACTGCGGTTTCAGTCCTGGACTCAGCAACTTGAAAAGTGTGCCAGGTGCATGTGCATGTGTGTCCAAGATCCCGAGAAGAGGATGGAAAAGGGATTGTGGCTTGGCTATCCCCTCTGGGGGTGATTTCTCGCTTTCCATCTCTGTCCCTCTCTGTCTCTCCAATGAGTGCATGTGCCCTGTAGCAAAAATCTCTCTCTCAAAAAAAAGGATGTATGTATCTATATATTGGCTAAGGTCACTCTATCCTAACCAAATGAAAAGGTGTTAGGTACCTGTGGTGTGTTGAATAGCAGTCCCCCAAAAGATATGTTCAAGTCCTAACTCTCAGTACCTGTGCATGTGAACTTATTTTGTTCTAGCAACTTTGTAGATGCAATGAAGAATCTTGAGATGAGATCATTCTGGATTCAGAGTAGTCTATAATTCAAATTACTGGTGTCTTTATAAGGAGAGGGAGGTTTAAAATATAGACATACAAGAAAAAAGGCAATCTAAAGATGTAAGAGGAGACTGGAATTATACTGTCATGACTCAAGGAACACCAAAGGTGGCCAACAGCCACCACCAGATGGTACGAGAGAGACATGAATGGATTTTCCTTCAGAGCCTCCAGGAAGAACCAATCCTTCGAACACCTTTAGAACTCTAGCTCTCATGAGGGAATAAATTTGTTTTAAGCAGCCAACTTGTTATGACAGCCCTAGCTAATGAATACAATATACCACTGCCACTAACTAAAAAATAGTGGTATACAAACAGATGATTAAATGAGTTAGTTAGTCATTGATAAAATACAAAGTGGTATCCAAAACTTCTTGGAACTGTTAAGATGGCCATCATAACAGCCACTGATTCAGGGAAAACAGTCTTACTGTAGCTAATCTCATCCAACACCACTCAAGTCACAGAATAGTTGGTCAACTTGTGTCTCTCCAGTGAACTACACAAGAAATTCCAATTTGAGGTGACAAATGAGAACTCTTCTTCAGAATCAAGATATGCTCAAAGGTTCACAATGTATTCAGAGAAGATTCAGATGTTTTATGAAAACAAGTAGTTCCAAAATATAAATTGACCTTCAGGTGCCACCATCCTTCAGCACAAGTTCACTGTAAATCAGCAGGTTGAAGTATTTTCATACTAATATCCTCACACAGTCCTCACGCAAACCTTTTTGCTAAGGTGTTTCCCTTGTACCTTAGAGCTTCTATTTTGCCATTAACTCCCTTGACTCATTGGCATCTTCAGAAATAATTGCTTCCAATTTTTTGTCTCAACTAAAACAAATGTTCTTATGTGCTTTCTTTATAAACTTTATTGAATGAAGCTGTGTTCCCCACCTTCCTTAAATCTGGACTTGGCACAGGGTGAGAACTGGATATAGATAGAAGCAGGAAGGTAAACATTATTTCAGCTCTCTGTTGAAGACTGTAGACCTCTATTTTTATACATTAAAAAAACCTGATTTAAAAATATAATTATTGTATTTATTTTATTTTATTGGTTATTATTATTTTTAATTTGACTAGAGAGAGAGAGAGAGAGAGAGAGAGAGAAGGAGGAAAATGAGAAAGGAAAGACACCAGGTCGAGGCCTCGAACTGCAGATGGTCATGTGGGAATCCAGCACTCCAACTATCATGCCACCTGCTGGCCTATAAAAACTTATCTTTCAAGCCTATTGGTATCTATTCTTCTGCCACCTACTCACTTCCTAGTTATTCATCTACCTCAAGGCTTTGGTAATTGGTTCATAGACTTTCTCTGTATTTTAATTCTTACTGACATTCTAAACAACTTCAGCACTTACGGGACAACCTTTCATTTTGTTTATCAACTACAATGTGTCAATACTCTTCATCTCCACTTTGGTGTAACAATGAATTCTCTTATCACCCCAACTGCTCAACCATGGAAATCAAGTCTAGCATCAGACTCTCTGAACAGAATTCCTTATACTTCCAATCTTCTCAATTTTTCTCATTATTTATTTGATTTTATTTTTTAATGAGAGAGAGGCAGGCATCCCCAGCATGGCCTTCACACCGTAAATCATTCCCAGCCTCAGTCAGTGTGGATCATGAGTATGTGTGCATCTAAAGTACATGCACAGGGAGGCCTTGGGATACAAGCCCAGTTCCTTCCTATGTGGGTCCAGCGTCACAGAGCATTGCATTACTGCTGCACCAATCGACTGGTCCCTAATTTTTATTCTTTCCACTCACATCATATAGAGACCTATAGTCTTTTCTTTGCACACAGGATAGTAGTTACCAAATAAAACATTCAGAGATGATAACTGAATGAACAAGTGGATCAAGTTTAGAATACCAATCTCAGAGAATAAGAGGGGACACAGAACACAAGCATGCGACATCACAGAAGGGCCACAAGAGTTCTGGAGATGGTAAATTATCAGTCTGCATAACTGTGCAATTTCTACTTCAACCCATTATTCTTACCTCAGCAGCTGAGGTATAATAAAAAGGTAAATTGTTGGTTTGATTTAGGATTGAAGGTTTATAGAATAGCAGAGTGCAATTATGGTCATATTTTGTTAGTAAGAGCAGATAAAATGATGGATAGGCTGGAATAAGATAAAGAAGTAAAATTAGTTTTGTTAAATTTATTATCCAGGGTTAGTTAAGTTTCTTCCATTTGCAAAAAATACAAAATGTTCTTCTGAAACATACTATATATTTAACAAAAATATGCACTGAAACATAAAATCAAAGCCATAAATTTCTAGTACAGAACCGAGAGAAAAAGACTGCCCAAGTAGAGACAATATTTATAGTATTTAGTGTAATTAGTAAAATACTTACCAGTTTAGAAGCTCTATTTACTTCTTTCCTGATATCTTCTATCAGAAAACCATAAACTCCTTCTTCTTCTTTCCCTCTCTGCCAAATTCCACTTGACATCAACTATGAATATATCCTCAATTAGAAAATAAACTCTAAGAAACTAGTTTAGAATATATATATCCACAAAATTTATTCCAATAAAAAAAGGACATAAAATGACAAAATTTTCAAGCACTTATCTATAAGTTATTTTTCATGGTCAAGGTTAAGAGGCCATTAATGTGCTTCAGTGGAATACACTGTTCATCAACAGTTTCTATACCTAAACTGGTTTCTAAAAGAACTCCAGAGGGACCAGCAGTTAGTGTAATGGCTATGTCACTGGATTCCCATGTAGTCGACTGCAGTTCGAGCCCTGGACCTGGTGGCTTAAACTCACGTCGTGTGCGTGTGCATGTGTGCTCAAGATCCTAAGAGGAAAATGGAGGAGAAGGGATTGTGGCGTCGCCATCCCTCCAGGGGTGGGTGGGGGGTGACTTCTCGCTTTCTGTCTCTCTGTCTCTCTCTGTCTTCCTGGTGAGCGCACACACCCTATAGCAAAAACCTCTCCCCCCCCCAAAAAAAAATAAAACCTCCATAAAGATTTATGGGGGAGGGGGAGAAGAAAAGAAAAGAAAGAAGGAAGAGGGTAGATAAGTCAGAGGGAGAAAAAAAAGAAAGAACATCTATAATTAAGCTTTAGAATAAAGAAGTGATAAATAAAAAACAATATGAATGTAGTAACAACAAAATCTATAAAGACAATCCAGATTATCAGTAATATGTCAGGCTAACTTTAGCTGAATTCTAAATCATAGAAGTACATTTACACAAAAATCTATTGAATCATAGTTAATAGATCATGTTTTACTTGCTAAAATTGGAATTTAACTTCACAGTTTATATATGGTGGGCCAGCTGGTGGCATGTTGGTTAAGGTAGCTGAATCCCATATGGCTGACTCCATGGTTTGAGTCCTAGACCTGGTAGCTTGAAAAATTTGCTGGGTGTATGTACATGCATTCCCAAAATCCTGAGAGGAGAATGGATTGTGGTAGGGCCAAGCTCCCTGGGATAGTGCTTTCTCACTCTCTATGGAGATTATACTTTAAAGAAAAAATAATTTTTTAACAATAATCTTTCTTTGTTTTAATTTGACCAGAGATGGACAGAGTGAGAGAGAAAGAGGGAGAGAGAGAAAGTGAGAAAGCAAGCCACAAGGTTCGAGACTTGAACTGCTAGTCTGGTGCCCTTAACCACCATTCAAACTGCCAGTTATACAGAAAAATAAATAAATAAATAATATAATATAATATAATATAAATTCCACATATGTATGGAAGCATGAGTAAAGAAAGAGTATTGACTGTGAATAAGAAATTCTAGCTTGCATATCAGGTTCTATGCCTAATCTTTCTTTGGGTGGGTGGGGGGAGATTTTTGCTATAAGGCCTGTATGCTCACTGGACAGAGAGACAAAGTCAGACAGATAGTGAGAAATCACCCCCTAGGGAAGATGGCCATGCCACAATTCCTTTTCCTCCATTCTCCTCTCAGGATCTTGGGCACACACACACACGCACATCCAACGTTAGTTTAAGTCACTGGGTCCGGGACTTGAACTGTGGTCAACTACATGGGAGTTCAGTGATGTAGCCATTAAGCCATCTGCTGGTCCCTCTATACCTAACCATATGAAACTGAAGGCAAGTAACACAATGTCTTCTTAAACATGAATAATGGTACAAAGGACTAGACTGCCATTAAGTCAGTGTCTTTGAGCTGTAGCATTCTTTTTATAAAAAAAATTATTTTTAACTTTATTTATTTTAATTTGACGAGGGAGAGAGAAAGTGAGAATGAAGCCACCAGGTCTGGAACCTGAACCACAGTTGGTCATGTGGGAGTCCTCCAGTAACCTTAACCACCATGCCACATGACAGCCCCTCAGCTCTAGCATTTTTATTTATTTATTCTTTTTTTGGAGAGGTTTTTGCTGTAAGGGCATGTGCGCTCACCAGAGAGAAAGACAGAAAGCGAGAAATCACCCCCAGGGGGATGGTGACTCCGCAATCCCTTCTCCTCCATTCTCCTCTCGGTATCTTGGGCACACACGCGCACACACCCAGCGTGAGTTTTAAGCCACTGGGTCCGGGACACGAACCACTTACAAATAATTTAATTTCTTAAGGAAGCATCAAAAGACCTTTAAAATGAAAGGCAGTAGGTTTGAAAGTGTGTCCATAAATTTTTTGATGCTCCTTCCTTCAAGGGGTGAATTCAAGTTTAATTTTCCATTTGAGTGTGGGCAGGACTTCGTGAGACTCACTTTCAACAAAGAACATGAAGTAAAAATGGCAGTGGGGTGTGACTGAAGAGTAGGTCTTTTGGTTCCATCTTGGTGTCTCGCTTCCCCTCTCATCACCTGCTTTGGGGGAAGCCAGATGCCACTCTGTGAAGCAGCCCTAATAGGAGGCCCAGGAGGTAAATTTCTGAGGCCTCCAGCCAACAGGTAGGATGAGCTGAACCCATTAGTGGATTCTCCAGCCCACTAAGCCTTCATATGCAATCTGGTTGATATCCTGACTGTCATCTTAAGAGACTTTGAGTAAGGTCTAGGCTCAGCTGACACCAAATTCCTGACCCTCAGAAATTGTGTGAGATAATACATATTGCTTAATTTGCAAAATTTTAGAATGATTGTCAGGTAGCAACATACCTAATTCAGTGTAAAGAAACTGTGTGTGAAAAAGAAAAGTTTGAGTACCACTGCAACCTTGGCATGCTAAGTTGGTAATGGTGGCATTAGTATCTTTTTACATAGACAGATACATATATTTTGAGAGGGTGAGTGTACTTACTGGAGAGAAAGAGAGAAAGGGAAAGTGAGAAAGCAACTCCCCACCCCCATAGGGCACACATAGTCACACCACAATCCTTTCTCTTCCATTTCTCCCTCCTTTAGGGATTTTGGGCATGCACACACCCATGCCTGGCAGGTTTTCCAAGCTACAGTTCTGGGACTCAAACTAAGTAGTCAGTCATGGGGGATTCCACCACCATAGTTACCAGGCCACGGGGTGGCCCACCACTATCTTCTTTTTAGAGAAATTTTTGCTATAGGGCATATAAATTTGCCAGAGAGACAGACAGACAGACAGACAGTGAGAAATTACCCCCTGGGGGGATGGCCACATCGCAATCCTTTCTCCTCCCATCTCCTCTTGGGATTTGGGCATGCACACATATGAATCTGGTGTGAGTTTTAAACCACCAGGTCTGGAACTCTTAACAGCAGTCAACTACGTGTGAGTCCAACAATGTAACCATTATGCATCTGCTAGTCTAGCCTACCACAATCTTAAGGCACAGAATGAGGCAAGAAATTGGTGGAGGGAAGGTAAAGTGAAGGAGGAACCAGATCTCAATATGAAACACCTCTTTTGTTTTATTTGGAGTAATCCATAAATTAACCTATTTCCTTTCCACAAATATTTATTGCCTTTAGCCAGAACTTTTCTTTCCAGGTTCTCTGTGAAATAAAATACGTTTCATCTACACCCTGTACCTTCAAGCAAATCTTTTCTGAGAGTTATCACTAGCAACAAAGGAAAAAGGTGGTAAAAAGAATACTTCTCTTACGTACCTAACCATTTTTCCCTGTTTTTTTTTTTTTTTTTTTTTTTTTAACCTAAGCCCTAAATAAGCAAAAACAAGCAGGTAATGATGACAAGTTTTTAATAGGTACAAAGTAATTTCAGAATTTTAAAATATGCTATACAAAAATCCTACTTTTACATAGGCAAAATGAGATCCAGAGAAGTTAAGCAGCTCATTCAATGCTCAGAAATCGGTATAAGGATCTAATTTCCTTCTTAAGAAAATCTAATTTTTAGAGTTTATTTATAACTTATACTTACCAAACAATAGTAATGGACAGTGAGATTCCATTTCTCATTAGTTTTCTTTTCTCCATATTTATTAGGACAGTCATCATTTTTCCGACAGAAAACACAAGCTAACAAAACAGGAAATAAATATAAAAAATAAATTTAAATACTTTTTAAAAAAAGACTATGTAAGTGGTACTTCTTCTCTATAGATGTTAAATTCCTACTGAAAGAGCAAATCACATTAGGTTGCTATTTGTAGTTTAAAATTTAATCATACCTGCTCCAAAAACACTAATATGACTCTACATTTTCATCAACCTTTAATGATAATGTGTAGTGTGTAGTTAAACTGTCAATGTGTGAGACAATATCAGAGAAAATGATGGATCAAGGAACTCTAGAACTTCACTATTCCACTAAGTAATTATTTTTTCACTAAGCTGTCCCTAATGATCAAAACTAACTTTTTAAAAGCTCTGGAAACTAATAGAAAACTTAATCAGGTGAATGCTTAGTGAACAAACAAGTTGCTAAATTTCAATGAGAACTATTTAACTTACCTGCCACCATTCCCCCCTCTCCAGCTACACAGTGGCATTGGGGCGCCCAGTGCTGTGTTTCTGATGCAGATTGCTGGTTGAAGAGAGGGTAATACAGACCTTGTTCTCAAAGTAAAGTGATTGCTTTGGCTCTGTAGTGGCTGTTTGAGGAATGGGCTCATGGGCTTGCCTTTGTTTTGCCTGACTCAGAACTTTCTCAGGGCTATAGTTTGTCAAAAAAACATTAAAACAAATATATTTATATAGCTGTTGCAGCCAGGGGGTAGGGATGACAGACAGACCAAAAGCCTAGGAAAAAAAAGAGGCTAGGAAAGGGAGCTATATGGGGGAATAAGGACTTTGCAAAGCTCCCACACATGCCAGAGAATCTATAAGGCCATGTATTTTTCCAGGGATGTACTCATACTCAGAAAAGATCAGAGGAACCACAAGCTTTCACTTGTACCTGATCTTTAGGTTCATGTAAGCCTACATTGAAAAGGAAGGATCCCAAGTTAATAGCTAATTTTATACTTAGTGAATTAGAAAAATAAGAGAAAATTAAACACAAAGCTAGCAAAAAGAAAAAAATAAAAAGTAGAGAATATATAAAGAATAAAAAAACAAAAACAAATCAATAAAAACAAAAATTGGTTCCTTGGAAAGATCAGCAAAATCAAAAAACCTTTAGCAAGACTGACCTAGAGAAAGGAAAAAAAAAGACTAAAAGCTTATAAAGGTATAGTAATCAATACAATGTGACACTGACCTAGGTATACATATACTTAAGTGCAAAATAAAAATCAAGAAATAAACTTGTATGTCTACAATCAACTAATTTTTCAGCAAAGGTGCCAAGACTATTCTATGGTACTAGGATAACTAGATAGCCACATGCAAAAGAATAAAATTGAAGTTCTATGTCATTATCATACAAAGAACTCCAAACAGATCAAGGATGTAAATCTAAGAGTCGAAACTATAAAATTCTTATAAGAACTCATAGCAGTAAATCTTCATGATCTTGGAGCTGGCAATAGTTTCTCAGAATTCACATGACACCAAAAGCAAAAATAACAAAAGAAAAAATATATAAATTTAACCTCGTCAAAATTTAAAACTTTTGTGCCTCAAAGGACACTTTCAAAAAAAAAAAAAACGAAAAGACACTCTACAGACTTGGGTGAAAACATTTGGAAATTGCATATCTAATAAGTCTCATATCCAAAATGTCTAACAAAGTATTACAACTCAACAGTGAAAACATAAATGACCCAATTTAAAAATGGGCAAAGGATCTAAACGGACACTTCTCCAAAGATAAACCTATAGACCTTAAGCACATTAAAAGATGCTTAATATTATTAAGCATCAGTCAACAAGGAAATGTAAATTAAATCCACAATGAGACATCACTTCACACTTACAAGGACAGCTGTAATCAAAATGTCATATAGTAACAACTCTTGTCAAGGATCTGGAGAAATCAGAACCCTTACACTCTACTGACAGAAATGTAAATCAGTGTAGCCACTTTAGAATGTAGTCAAGTACTTTCTCAAAAAGTTAAACACAGTTACCATAGGATACAATAATTCCATTCCTGGGTGTATCCACCAAAGAACTCAAAGTCTACTTTCAAACAAATACTCCTACACTAATCTTCATAGCAACACTGTTAACAATAGCCAAAGTGGAAACAAACCAAGTGTCCATTAATGGATGGATGAAATGTATAAACAAACTGATATATTCATACAAGGGAATACTATTCAGCAATAAAACGGAATGAAATCTAATACATGCTACAACACAAACAAGTCTACAAACATTATGCTAAGTGAAGGAAGTCAAGCACAAAAGGTCACATATTCCATTTACATAATAGTTTACATTACCAAGAATAGGTAAATCCAGAGAGACAAAAGACAAAAAGCAGATTAGTGGTTACCAAGGGCTGGGGAAATGTGTAGAATGAAGAGTGACTGCCTATCAGGTAGAGTTTTCCTCAGGGGGTGACAAAATGCTTTGAACTATTGATAGATGGTAGTGATAGTTTTACAACATTGTGAATGTACTAATTCCTACCAAATTGTCATTTTACCACATACCGAAAAAGAAAATTTGTGGAGTCAGGGAGATTCTGAATTGACTTAGCTCAGCATTTGTGTATGCACACACACACACACACACACACACACACACACACACACAGGAAGCTGGATCCACATGGCTGTGGTTCAAATCCTCACCCTAATGAAATAAAAAACATGTTGGATATGCATGCCCAAAGTCCTGACAGGTTGTAGAAATGGAAAAGGAATTGTGTGTGACCATTCCCACGTGGGTGGTGTTTTTCTACCTCTTCCTGGTGAGTGTACATGCCCTCTAAAAACTAAAAAAAAGAAAAGAAAAGAAAAAAAAGTTCAAGAAAAAATGGAATCAAAATATAAGATCATTTTGGTACAAAATTTTTTTAAATCAATGCAGTTTTTTTCATAATACTAGTTTTCCATGCACTTTTTTGAAGACCTCTTATATTTATGATATACCACAAGATTTTTATTAAAGAGTTTAAAAATTATTTTATTTATTATTATTATTTTTTAATTCACCAGGGAGAGACAGACTAACAGACAAGAGAGAAAGTGAAAAAGCAAGCCACCTGGTCCAGGATTTGAATCATATCGGCCATGTGAGAATCCAGCACCTTAACCACCATGACACAAGGTGTTTTGAAATACATTTGAACTGTGGAAAGGCTAAACAGAGCTAATTATCATGTGTTACTTCACTTACCTACCATTTATTTGTGATGAAAACACATAAAATCTACTCTTACTTTCAAATATACAATACATTGTTGTTCATGTAGTCATATGTTGTACAACAGAAATTTTGAACTTATTCCCCCTAATTGAAATTTTATATTCTTTCCCAATATCTGTCGAATCTCCCCCTATCTCAAACTTCTAGTAACCACCATTCTACTTTCTGCTTCTAAGAGTTTTGCTATTTGTACAGGAGAGAGAGTAGTATCAGCAGAGCATAAAGTAACAATTTAAATTCTTATACTTTTCAAAAAATGTGGCACATGTACACTATGAAATATTACTCAGCCAAAAATATGACCCTGTCTTTTGATGGGAAGTAGATGAATACAAAAATATTTAATATTAAGTAAAGTAAATCAGCTGAAATACAACACTTTATATCCCTGCTCAATGTATACCAAATGTCTGCACTATATGACAGAAATGGAAAGATCTGAAGACATAATAGTTGGCAGTTGTAAACACCAGAGACTGTATGGCATGGGAGTGGGTGGGAGAAGTGGGGTTGGAGGGCCTCAGGGAAGAAATGCTTAACAGACATAAGAATGTAAAATTTTATGTTGGGAATGATGTATAGGAGATGTATATGGTAATACCTTTGGATTTGATTGTCAAAGTGTGCACACTTTGATAAATCATTCTGTAGGCTATGAAGATGTACAATTAAATATGAATAAGCAATCATAAAATTAAAAAAAAAATAGCAGCTCCTACTTTAACTCCTCCGTCCCAGAATCTATACTTTTATCCATGAGTTCATATACATATAAAAGAAGGAAGAATAGAATAGCTGAGACTAGAGAAGAGGAATTCTCCAGACCACTCCTGATGGAGAAGCATTTCTATGTATCATGGACCTACAGTTTTCCATTTGTTCCCTTCCTCCCTTGCCTCTCTTCACCTAGTTTGGAGGTCCTTCCCTGTTCGTAGATAGACTAGGTTTTAGGAAAGCATTTTTATAAGTAGATTACTTTCTATTTATTTGTACTTCACTATTTTTTTAATTTGAATGTTTAAAATTCAGTAAAGTAGTTATTTCATTATATGTTAAGATCACCCTTTATTAAAGCAAATGATATTGGTTTCCATTACAATAATGAAAGTTTCCTTCATAAATAAATTCACGTAAGTAAAAAACAGAATTGATTTTAGAAAAAATAACCGTAGGGGTGTATTTGCATTTGGTAAATGAATAAAGGTAGTCCACACATTACTAAAGTTTCAGAACTATTAGCATAGTTGAAGCAGAAAAGGGAAGTAGAGGGAGCTCTAGAAGCACAAACTTCCTCATTCAACATAATGTAGAGTCAATAGATATGCTCTAAAAGTGATAGTCAAGACATAGTTTTAAGTATATTTTAATTTTAGAGGGAATAAAAAAATCTAAAACAGTAGAGGGAATGGTATCAGAAGAACATTAGAGTAATAATAAACTCTTCCTCTTCTATGGAAGCAAGTCAAAATACAACTAAAAGCGGGGACCAGAAGGTAGCATGATAGTTAAGGACACTGGACTCCCATATAGCCGACTACGGTTTGAGTCTGGAACCTGGCAGTTTGTTTTCTCACTTACTCTCTCTCTTGTTTCACTCTTGCTTTCACTCTGTCCCTCTCTGGTCAAATCAAAATAAATAAAGTTAAATAAAATAATTCTTTTTTTTTTGGAGAGGTTTTTGCTATAGGGCGTGTGCGCTCGCCAGACAGAGACGATGGACAGAGAGCCAGAAAGCAAGAAATCACCCCCCAGAGGGGATGGTCCACACTGCAATCCCTTCTCCTCCATTCTCCTCTCAGGATCTCGGGCACACATGCACATGCACCCGGCGTGATTTTTAAGCACCGGGTCCAGGACGCGAACCGCGGTCGACTACACAGGAGTCCAGCGACATAGCCATTATGCTAACTGCTGGTCCCAATAATTCTTTAAAAAAAAAAAAAAAAAAAAAACTAAAAGCAATGATCAAAAGAGATTCCATCTACTTGGGAAGGCTGTTATGACCACTTAGAGGTAAATTTTCCTTTCCATGTTAAACTTTTGTGTACAGTTAAACTGTTCTCTCCTTCATTTTTTTCATTTTTAAGAAAAAGCACAAAAAAGGGTGAAAAATTTAAAATTATATAGTTTAATTCAGACACAAACCATACCTGATAAATACATACACAGAATACAAACAAAATTTGGCAAATACATTATCCTCCAACAGCATTTTTTTGGGAAATGAATACACACATTATCATACTTCAGTACATAAACACTTGAACTAAGAAGCATGTACTAAGGAATTAATTCCTATTGTCTGAGTAGCAATCTTAAAAGTTATAGTAATGAAAATATTGTAAATACAGTTACTTACCAAGGTTCTGTGAGTCACCAGGTTTATTTTCATTCATTTTACTAGGAAAAAAAAAAGAACATGTCAATACAGCCATTATAGTTTCAAATTATCAATTTGAATGAAATTTAGTCAATGCATGATTACAGCTAAGTCACAATCATTTCTTACTCTAGTGCTTACTTAGTTAAGTCATCATTCATACATCTAAGATATGTAGTTTTCAATAAGGATGGTAAAATATAGAGACTTTTTTTTTGGGGGGGGGGCAGGTTTTTGCTATAGGGCTCACCAGAAAGACAGAGACAGAATGCAGGAAATCATCCCCAGGGAGGATGGCCACGCCACAATCTCTTCTCCATTTTCCTCTCGGGATCTTGGGCACATGCGCAATGTGTGCGAGCACGCACACACACACACACACACACACACACACACACACACGCCCGGCGTTGAGTTTAAGCCACCAGGTCTGGGACTCGGACCACGGTGAACTACATGGGAGTCCAGCGACATACCCATTACACCAACTGCTGGTTCTGTGGAGACATTTTAAAAACTCAAGTGAATGTGAAGACAGCAGGTGGCGTAGTGGCTAAGGTGCTGGACTCTTATGTGGCCAACCAACCACAGATGGAGTTCCAGACTGGTGGCTTAAAACTTATGCTGGGTGTGTGCGCATGCATGCCTAAAATCCCAACTGGAAAACCAGAGAATTGAGGAGAAGGAACTGTGGCATGGCCAATCCCCTGGGGGTATTTCTGTTTCTCTAACGAGTGCACTCTATAGCAAAAATCTCTCTCTCTCTCTCGAAAAAGAAGAAGAAGAAGGAGGAGGAGGAGGAGGCGGAGGAGGAGGAGGAGGCGGAGGAGGAGGAGGAGGCGGAGGAGGAGGAGGAGGCGGAGGAGGAGGAGGAGGCGGAGGAGGAGGAGGAGGCGGAGGAGGAGGAGGAGGCGGAGGAGGAGGAGGAGGCGGAGGAGGAGGAGGAGGCGGAGGAGGAGGAGGAGAAGGAGGAGAAGGAGAAGGAGAAGAAGAAGAAGAAGGAAAGAAAACAGAAGGGAATGTTTTCTAGTTGTCAAACAATTAAGATAATTACTGGCATTTAGTAAAAAAGGGCCAGAATGGCAGACATTTTGCAATGCATAAACAGCCTACATAACAAAAAGTCTAGACTCCCAAATATCCAGGTGGAGATTCAAATTGGTAAAAAGCCTCCTTTTAAGTTAAATCAACTTTGCTCACTTTACATAAACATCATTTCTTTCTCCTAACCAATTTCATAAGAAAAATGAGTATCTCCAGAACAACTTCTAACTAAATCTAACCTAAGACATCGCAAAACGTAGGGCTCATTATTTTATGAAGACTAATGCAATTAAAATGACAGAATGCTTTCTCTCTTTGGGAAGGAAAATTTTTGCAATATAGGGCATGTGTGCTGGCTGAAGAGACAGAGACAGACAGACAGCGAGAAATCATCCCCTAAGGGGGATGGCCACACAGCAATCTCATCTCCTCTATTCTACTCTTGGAATTTTGGACATGCACACACACTCACACACACACACACACGTGCCCACTTTGAGTTTTAAGCCACTGGATCTGGGACTTGAACCACAGCTGACTACATGAAGTCCAGCAACATAACCGTTATGCCATCTGCTGGCCCCATCCTCATAAATTCTAAAGCTGAAACATCCAAGGGCCCAAGTCTCTATGATTTTTGAACATCTGGTCTCAATAGAATGCCTTCTTTACAATTTAGAATTTATATTTACACTGTTTTAAATTTAAACATGAATTAACTTACATAACACTGTGCTTTCATAAAAGTCAGTCTAATTCTTTAGAATCACTTTGACTATAAGCCTTCAATAGTTTCCGATTTTTCTTTACAAAATGATGCTGTGCCATCAAGATTGGTATTTCCTAAAAGAACCCATAATACAGAGAGACTAGTTTCAACTAGGTCTGGCCTACGAGGATTAAATGAGTAATCCAAGGGCCAGCAGGTGGTGTGGTGGTTAGGGTGTGGGACTCCCACATGGCTGAACATGCTTCCAGTCCTGGGCCTGTTGGCTTATTTTCTCATTTTTCCATTTCTCTCTCTCTTTCTGATGAGTATACATGTTCTATAGCAAATTAAAATAATAATAAGAAAATAATTAATTCTAAAAAAAGAGAAGTACTCCTTTATTATCTTCTCCCTCTCTTCTTTTCTTTTTATTAGAGCAGTAATAATACTCTATAAGTACATGACAGCACATTTGATGTTTATATATGTTCAGCAATGACTACAGACTGTCCTTACTGATCAAACTGATTGAGGATCACAACCAATACAACCCAATTTTAAATACATTATTTGTGTGTAGGCAGAAGGGGGGGTTGGTTCCATTTTTTAAATTGATGAAATACAATAAATACGAAGATAAAATGCTTCTTTTATTAGGACTTCTCTATAATTTACCTCTGATGATGAGTTCAACATATCAAAAACCCACTTACAAGAATTTATTGCAGAAAATTCCATAAACATCACATGATAAATAGTACTTGGCCCAGAATAAACATAACAATATTAATCTATAACTGTTTTTAGTCAGCAATCTACCACACAGGTTTATATTTGAGATTTCAACCCTCCAGCTTATAATTCCTTACCCTCTCCCCTCCCTGTTTGCAGAATAGATTAGGTTTCAGGTAGTCAACTGCATCTACCTATGACTTACTTTCAGATTTATTGCAATTCAGAATAATGACAAAGGTAACTTTATTTCACCTGAGGATAAAATTGTCATGCCATTTATCATAGTTTAAATAAGTATTTATTGAACGTGAACATATGCTAGAGATATTACTATCACCAGACAATAGTTCTAAAATACATTTTCTTTATAAAGAAATCCTAATTTATTTGAGGTTATATATTCTCTTCCCACTTCAAGGACTCAAGGCATGTCTCTTGATAGATAACATGATGAAGGTCTGTCTAGATCTTTATGCGTATAGACAATGATATTACTTAAAAAATGGTATCTGGAAAAAAAAAATGGTATCTGGCAGGTGGTGCGGTAGTTGAGGCACTGGACTCCCACATAGCTGACTATGGTTTGAGTCCTGGACCTGGTGGCTTGCATTCTCACTTTCCCTCTCTCTCTCTCTGTCTCCCTCTGGTCAAATTGAAACTAATAATGACGAATAAAATTAAAGAAAATAATTTTTAAAAAAAGGTATCTGGGGACCAGCAGATGGCATAACGGTTACATCACTGGACTCCCATGTAGTCAACTACAATTTAAGTCTCAGACCTGGTACCTTAAAACTTATGCTTGGTGCGTGCGTGCGTGTGTGTGTGTGTGTGTGTCCAAAATCCTGAGAGGAGAATGGAGAAGGGATTGCCATGTGGCCATCCACCCTGGGGGGGTGATTTCTCACTTTCTGGCTCTCCGCTTCTGTCTCTTCAGTGAGCGCACATGCCCTATAGCAAACATCTATCTCTAAAAAAGAAAAATAAATGGTACCTTAAGTTTATTATTAGTTGCCATCCTTAGTATTCTGAACTAAACAAGTACCTTCTCATCTTTATAGATGAACATAAAAGAATAAAAATGTGGGACCAGTAGATGGTATAATGTATACATTACTGGACTCCTATGTAGTCAGCGGTGGTTCAAGTCCTGGACCTGGTGGCTTAAAAGTCATAGTGGGCGCATATGTATGTGTGCCAAAATCCCAAGAGGAAAATAGAGTAGAAGGGACTGCAGTGTGGGCATCCCCCTTGAGGGGTGTTTTCTTGGTTTCTGTCTCTTTCTTTCTCTTTCTCTCCAGAAAGTGCATATGCCCTATAGCAAAACACACTTAAAAAGAAAAAAAAAAAAAGAAAAATGTGACCATCAATTTCACATGACATAAAAAGTAGCACTGGAGGGACCAGCAGTTAGCGTAATGGCTATGTAGCTGGACTACCGTGTAGTCGACTGCAGTTCAAGTCCCGGACCCAGTGGCTTAAACTCACGCTGGGCACATGTGCATGCATGCCCAAGATCCCGAGAAGATAATGGAGAAGAAAGGATTGTGGTGTGGCCATCCCCCCTGGGGGGTGATTTCTCGCTTTCTGTCTCTGTCTCTCTCTGTCTGTCTGGCGAGTGCACGCACCCTATAGCAAAAACCTCTCCAAAAAAACACAAAAAACAAACAAACAAGTAGCACTGGAATATACAGAGGATCATGCTGAAGTCTTCAAATGTCATTGGTTACTAGCTGATTACAAAAAAGATCTACAGTGCTATCACTATAGAATCGGGAAAAGGTTTTCCCTAGGTACATCATTATCTAATAAGCAGTGTATACAATTTTTAAAAGTGCATTAGTGCACAACATTCCACATAGACCAATGGAATCCAGAAATAGATACATACTTTTCCAAACAAGAAAAGCACCAAAGCAATTCAGTGGAGAAAAATAAAATTTTTTCAACAAATGGTGCTTGAAAAACTAGCTATATCCGTATGGGAAGTAAGTGAATATTGATCCATACTTCACACCAGAAATAAAATTAATCTCAGATGAATAACAGACCTAAATATAAAATTTAAAGCACACACACATACACACACACACACACACACACACACACAAAAGGAAAGAAAAGGAAGAGAATATCTTCATTACCTAAGACAGGCAGCAGTTTCAAGTTACAGGAGGCATTTAACTAAGGAAAAAATGAATAAACTATATATCATCAAAATTAAAAGTTGCTATTCATCAAAACACATCATTAAGATCACACCTTCCAGTCACAGACTGGAAGGAAGTATTCATAAAAGATGCACCTGATAAACTTGTATCTAGAATTTACAAAGAACTTCTACAGCTCAAGAATATAAAGGCAAAATGCCAATAAAAAAACATGAAAACATCATGAACAAAACGGAAATATATGGATAGCCAATGAAGATACTTATATATGCTAACATCATTGCTAATCAGGATAATACAAATTAAAACCACTATGAAAGAGCACTTTGTACCCAAAATAGCTAAGACTAAACAATACCAA